TCCAGCGATTCCTTAGCATCCTGAGTGTATTTTCCATCTTATTTGCATAGGTGGCCTAGATCAGTGTTATGATGTTTCGCCAAGATCTTATGCAGGCGAGCAACTGTAAGCGTATTGTCTATGCCTTCACAGAAGCCACGCAAGGTTTTTCTTTTGGCTTTACGAATACCCCAGTTATATTTCGTTAGGGCTTTCCTCTAGAGGTCCCATGTATGCTCGAGTGGCATACATGCTGTTGACTTTATTATATAGTCTTCTAACCATGACTCGCTGTTGCTCAAAGTCCTTATTTCATCAAGGCACATTGAATTGTACTTTCTTGTGTTTTATTGGACAGCTTGATTTATATGCATTATGTATGATATTGTTTAGTTGAAAGGAGGCTACTTCAAGATCCTCTCTACTTCCAATATTTGTTTTGATTTCGTAGACCTCTTCGCTGATGTGTCTACAAAAAGAGCACCAATCAGTGAGTGAGGGGATTCTGAATTCTGTCTGTTTTGTCCTGTCTGCTACAATGACAAAGTGAATATGCTTGTGATCCGCTAAAGTGATTTCACGTGAAACATGCCAGTTTGCGATTTGCGAACTGAGTCGAGGCATGGCTAGATTTATGTCGAGCACCTCTTGTTGACTCTTGGTTACAAAAGTCGCGTCGTTACCTCTGTTGAGGATATGTAAATTTGTACTTTGTAAGTATTCGTAAAGGTACACACCCCTTTTGTTTGTGTCTGGGCTGTTCCATGCGAGATGGTATGTGTTCGCATCGCAGCACAGGAGGAGTGGTTTTTCCGTTTTCTTGAAGTAGTCTATGAGGTGTTTTACCTCCTTTGGCGGTGGTAGTGGATCGTCCGTTTCACCAGGAAAGTATGCCAAGGCTATAATTGTCTCTTGTGTCTCTGTAATAGATTAACTTACCTACTTTTGTTGTCAAGCGCCCTTCACACGATCAATATACAGTGTGTCCGTAAAGTAACGGATATAGGCGATAAAATCATTATAAACGGTTTATGGAAAAATACCTGAAACGGGTCTAAAGATTTAATTTCTTTGCAATTGTTTGGTGTAGATTTCAAATTTCTTCCGCCATTTTTAAGCGAGTTATAACGTCATCGGTATTTTTTTTTAAATGGCAAACCCCCATTTTTATTACAGAATATGAAAGAAGATTTTTTCTAAATCTAATACAGTTAATATTAATATTGCTTACATAAGAAAATTTTCGAGAAAAATTACTTTAAAGTTTAACTACTTCAGATTTGTTGACATGATGAAAATAGCAGTAACCAATTATTTTAAACAATTTCCTAAGTGTTACAAACTGATTTAGTAAGTAGTTGACCTCTTTAATACAACTTATCCTGATCGCCAATTCATTAGCCAAAGTATGGTGAGCCTAGCTGTGACTAAATTTAAACAGCATGACCATCTCTCGAAGTCTGGCCTACTAAATGTTGCAAGGGAAGTTTAACTAATCGTGGTTTTGGCTGGGGAAGAAAACCGTCATGTTACTGTAAGGAGTATTGGGTCTAATTTCGACATTTGTAAATCAACGGTTCATAAAATTTTAAATCCCGCAAAATATGATTCCCATAAAGTAAACCTAATTCACGAGCAATGAATCGTAGTTTTTGCAACAACAATTTTGCAACGATGACGAAAACTTTATCAAAAACATAATTTTTTCAACGAAGGGAAATTTACATTGAGTGGGAGAAAAACCCACATTGCTTTCACTCTTTTATTTATGGGGTAGACTGAACGACCTGACTTTTCCAGAGAGTCCAAGATAAACCAATAACCAGGGAGAATATGACAAAACACTAAACGCCATTAAAGGGGCTGAGACTTAAACAGCGCTTTTCTCGTCGAAACTAGATTAAATAAATGCATCGAGGTTTATGGAAGGCATTTTGAACATTTGTGAGCTATTTTTGCCAAAAATTTAAGTTATTCTAAGTATTTTGGTTTATTTTGTTTTATTATCATTGTTGATGTTTCATTGATCCGTTGGTTTAAATACGCATCAAAAGTAGTTTTGAACCAGTTCTCTTATTTGTTTGCTAAGGTAACTTTATCCGATTAAGATATATGAATTTTTAACATTTTCTTCTATAATTCGAGAATAGATGGAGATATCGAGATGCGATTTTCACTAATATTTAGCAAATTCTATGGTGACTAAGGGTCTGTGAAGTAAATAGTACTGAAAATATCTTTTAAAAGAGCATAAAATGATCTTTCAAACAAGACCTAAAATATTCAAATCGGTTGAATGGTCCAGGAGATATTTGAATGTAAACATCTGAAAACGCATTAGCCTCCCCCTCCCTTATTATAACAGATATGAGAAATATCGCGAAACAAAACCGATGCGGTATTATCCAAGCTACTAAATGATGTTGTCAAAGTTATAGCTCATCGTCTAACGTTCTGAGATAGCGGGAATTTTATGTATCTCTATGCCAGTTACGCCCTCTAGCGGTCGAATTACGAACTTCAAAATAATTTCCAGCTATTTCTCTTGCCCACTTTGCTTATAAGGATTTTTTCCCAAACTTCTAGTCGGGCTTGTCAGGTTACACACATAGAATGTCGTGAGCCATGTTATAAAAAATCGTGAGATGTTGAAATTTGTTTAAAAATCACTCAATTTTAATAATATGTGTTACATATAGGCATAGGAGTCAAGTAAAATAGTTTAGACAACGTTTGTATATAAAAGTGATATAATTAAAAGGAAATAAAATATTACAGTTTAAGTACTTTCTTAGCGCCATCTAGCGGCGAATATATGTAACTAATAGAGAAATTTACAGTAACCTACAATTCGAGTTGAAAATGCTATGATTTACTTTGATTTTATTAACACTAATTATTATATTATTTTTGTCGAGATACAGCCGCTCCTTACCCTTAACGGGACACCTCTATGTTAAAATCTGGAGATAATGATTAATTGATTAAGCCGTTGTCGAAAAGTGTTTCTTTACTAAAAGAATTACAATTACAAATAATCAGTACAGCAAATTATATTGATTGCAAGCAAACACGTCAATTGAGGATTTGTCAATTAAATGATTTTCATATTCTTCCGACTGGGGGACCTATTTATGGAAAAATCTAAAACTTGATATAACAAAATTCGTAAAAAAGTGCGAAGAATACTAACGTTATAAACATTCGATACCTCATAAAGAACCGGTGACAATACAACCGCTAGGCGAAGTTTTTTGATCGCAAAAGCTGTTGGCTATACGATAGGATTAGTGGGTGCGGCGATCAGACCAAAAAAGTAACTAAATTATTACTTGCAATATTTCGAAACTTTATTGTTTCTTCTACAGGCAATTAATCATAGTTAAGTGAAATCGGGACAATGGGGTCATACACGATTTTTTTTTTATTATATTTTCTGAAAGTTTATATAAAAATATAGTTACCGTTATTTTTTTTTTTTATATTTTCGAACAAAATCATTGTTAAAAAAATTGTTGAAAATTTATATACCCATTTGCGCTTTTAAAATTCCCGCGTTCATGACGTACGTATCAGCTTTTCGTCCCCTGCTCCCCGCTCAAATGCGAGAAAGAGATGAACGTCATTTAGGTTGTATTGAAAAGAGATAGAGTGTTTGTAGGTTATGTTTATTATGTTTTGTTCATGGATGTAATAGAGACACTCTATTACATCCATGGTTTTATTTTGACACTGTCACACCGCAAGCGCTATCTAACGGACAATTTAACTTGTTTTAGGCAGTGCGGTTCCTACGTCACAGAAAAGCCGCGAAATTATTTCGTTTGAATATTTGCTATTTTTCACTTCAAATTACGCAAAATATAAAATTGATCAAAATATTTCTTTTACTTTGTGTTCATGCATATACTTGCATATATCGTTTGACGTAAAAATTTTCTCTAAATTTAATAAGTGTGTATGACCCCATTGAAATACATCAAAACAATTCTTGACTACTCATTACGGTAAAAAAGTCAAAACTAATTAAAACATTACAAGATGCATGAAGAAAGAAACTCACACGTTTTGCGAATAATTTGCAAAAATGTTTAAAGTGACGAAATTTATGGTTTTATTTTTTAACGATTCTTATATCACATGATGTGGGAATCATAGTAAAGTAAATTCATATCAAAAAATTTGCGATTTATTCATTATTTACGGCAAAAATTAAGAAATATGAAATGACAGTTAAATTTATGGTACCGTGCCAGCTCACTGGTGTGTATGATTTTTTTCTGTTAACCTGGTAAGCCTCACCCGGTTTTGGTTTATTAGCATACTATAATCTGTTTATAAACAATATTTTTTTCGAAAACTGCTTTTAAAAGTTGACTTTTGCATAGTAGTTAGCAACCATCAAAGCGATATTTTTTTGTCAGCAGGACGTAATAGTATAATTAAAAAACTAGTTTCGTAAGACACGCTTGAAATGTATGAATTGAAGTTTAATGAATGAGTGCTTTAAGTCTTATGAAACGTGTTTTATATGCTATTTTTTGTAATTCCCGTTTTCATCCTGTTTTTTTAATAAAAATAAAATAAATTTTGACAATGTAGGGAAATAGGTATGTAGCAGTTGCTAACACCGTAACACTTGAAAATAGAAAGTTGAATAGAAATGTGGAGAGAACTGAGGGATAGGGACAAGGATATACAGAGGCAGGACAGAAGGCCGAAAGGAGGCAGGTTTATAGACAAAATATCAGTTTTTACGAAACCTGGACTCAACGTCTATAACGTTTCAAAAATAGAAACTTAAAGTTCACGAAAATACACACGAATTTACCGTTATTCCAATTTTGGTATTGGCTAATTCAACTCGTACATTCCCGGTGATAGCTCTTAATGCGATTTTAGAAAATCTATACATCACATGTTATATCATAATCATGTTAATGTTTACGATCTAGTCGTCAATTTTACTCTCCGTCATAATTTTTACAGCTTTTTTACAAGCTATTGCATAAGTCATAAAATTAGTATCCTTGTTTCGTTGCCAAGATTCTAATTCTCCCGTTAAAACCGACACGCATAAGTATACCGGCGTTATTAATTAAAACGTTTACAGGACCAACATTTATAGTAACCGACGTAAAACAGTCGAGTATTTCTTGAGATTTTGTTACAACCACGCTTACGGCAAATAATTTTCCATCATGATTTTCAACTAATTTTTCGATTTTTTCTTTTCGTCTTGCGAAACCGACTACCTAAATAAGTATCGTTAATAAAATTAAAATGAACATTATGTAAAAAGTTATGTAAAAACTATAAATTTAAATTAATCTAACCTTCATGCCAACTTTTATGAAAGCGTTGACCGTAGCAGCACCAATGCCAGCACTAGCACCTGTTACAATCACCATTCTATTCTTTAGGTCCATTTTAAAGTTTCGAAAATAATTTGTTGCGTATTGAAGTATAGTTCTAAGGTTTTGCTGATTTGTTGTTGAACAACTGCTTTATACTATAGTACACGAAGACATTTATGTATTGTGGGAAAAGATCCCACAAGAAAGTCGATGATTATTCTAAATCAGCGTTTCTCAAACTTGTTTCTCAACCTTGTAATGTTTGGATACCATACACAAGTTCTGGAATATTTTTACATATCACCGATAATAAAAAAGTTAACCTAAAAATTTTTTAAAATAAATAATAAGGTACTGTGTTTCATCTAATCGTACGGCAATGATTTACTTGTTCGACTACAATTGTTTTAACAGATTTCGCCATTTGATTAATACGTATACTCACGGTATCGATTGATAAAGGGACATTATTTAATTGAGCTGCAATTTTTGCAGAAAAATTTTCCTTTTTGGCGATTCTTAAGCTAATTTGATAACTGGCTTCTAAAGGCCCTACCGTTAACAAATCCGTCCTTTAACTGCTTACGATTCTTTATATACAGTCTCTTTGTTTTGTATTTATTTTGTCGGAGATATGAAATTTATTTGTTTCCCTTTCGGAAAGTATAAAAGAAATATCTTTGCCTTTATTTATCCCAATGATGAAAATATCGTAACCACTATTTGACTACTCATCTATAATTAATCTTTTACCCCATTAAAAGTTACTTTTAATATCTTCTCTAAGTGGTCTTATTATCAATTAAGTTATCTACAATTAACTTCAAATTACTATACAATTCTTTTTGAGCATCTCTCATTCATCTTACATGAACTCGATGTGGAAGAGGTAATAAATACACAATAGTATCTGAAATATTCTCACTTTCTAAATGTAGTAATTTCTTGTAAAGTTCATCAATTATTTGTTGAGTAAGTCCAATTCCTAAACCCATTTCCTTTTTAACCACTCCACTTATAAATAAAGTTTGGTTGAAAATTATTTATCGTCTTATTTCATGGCCTACTAATGAAAAAATGAACAAGATCTGCCATACTTTGCATAATTTTATCTTACACAATTAATTCCACAATATCTCAAAAACTACAACTGATAGGTATAGGGACATTTAGTGAAGATTTGTAGAGAATTAAATTCTGTATCTGATTAACTAGTCAAATATGGGGTGTTCCATTTAAAATTTTCGACTTGTTTGCAATTGAATATGGTAAAACAGTAGTTACATTTTTGAACAACCTGTATAAGATAGACCGATGTAGTCAACGGCACTCTACTTAAGGATATCCAGCAGCAACAATACAAATTTTAACTTTCTAGCTCGATCAATCGCTAAGAAATTCAGATTTGAAGGGCACAGTGTTAATTGCTAAAAAAAGCTTCTAATTAAAATAACTCAAAAACTAAAAGCACGAAGTATCAACGTGTCTGATCAAAGTCAACTTAGTTTTGTGTGTAGACTCAGAATACGCAATAAAAACTATATCATTCCATTTAAAATAACATATGTTTATTTCGGTACGGCGTTATAGAACAGCCTGTATGTATAAAAATATTGTCCGTTTATAGTGTGCTAAATTTCCTACAATTTTTTTCTAAGGAAAAACTGCGTATCTCGGCTTCTTAATGCCATTTATGTACTTTGTTGCTTACGTTGAACACTCTGTATATACTCGAGTATTACTAAAACTTAATATTATTTGAGTGAAACATATACTAATTTGCGTCTTCAACATTTTCTTCGAATGTCTTCTATTCATAGGTGCAATGCAAATCGAATGTAAGCGCACAAGTTATCGTGGAATATCTGTTCTCTGCATTACCTATATAATATTTATCAACAAACGTCTTAATACCCTAGCTGAAGGAATTGTTCGTGAATATCAGTCGGAGAAAAAAGTACGAAAAAAGACCGATAGCCAAATCCTAAAACGCTAGGCACATAAGTACAGAAGATACCCTAAGGAAGGTACCATAGGAAGAAAGGAGAGAAGCAAGCGGCGAGCAAAGAGAAACAGGAACTTATCGAAGACTAAACATAAGCTCTGTGAACCTGGAACCCGAGTTTACGATATTTTGGTTTTATTAGTACCATTCGATAGACAATCGTTTGTACTCATTTGTACCACCTTTAATTTCGTTTGTACCTCGGGACATAAAGAGATAAAAAAATTTTGAAAAATTGCCGGAACCCCACTTTGTGATATTCTAATTTTATTAATACAATTCGGTAGAGAATCCTTTGTACCCGTTCAGTGCATGAATTGAAATATCGTCCTGAATTTACAGGTACTATTCGGGAGAGTGGCTACGATAAATTTTTTGCAATGTATTGTCTGACACAAAATAAATAAAGAAAAATGGAACTAGAATCCGGTCACGTCCTCGTCGTTAGTTGTGGGTTACGCAAAGTGCAGGAGAAAAAAAAATTCCAAAAACGAAAGCGGTGAAAAGAAGTACAAACGATTCGCTCTCGAACCACATCGACCCTTTTGCGATATCTGTATTAATAATGGAGATACACACTTTCAGCGATATTCTGAAGAATCAAAAAATCGCTGTATTTTGGAATCGGTTAAGGTAAAAACGAAAACAAAAGTGGTACAAACGATTATCTATCGAATTCCATCGACCGTTTTGCGATATTTGTATTAATAACGCAGATACACACTTTCAGCGATATTCTGAAGAATCAAAAAATCGCTGTATTTTGGAACCGGTTGAGGTACAACGAAATGGAAAGTGGTACAAACGGGTACAAACAATTCTCTATCGAATGGTATTAATAAAATTAGAATATCAAAAAGTGGGGTTCCAGGTTCACACAGCTCTAAACATATTGATATTCCTACAAGCTTATTGTTCGAATTCCAGCAGATTCACAAATAAATCCAAAAATATAACTACACGCCTAAGAAAGGCAACTGTCAATTATCATTTAGAAGAGACCGCTCGCAACGTGCTCTAAAGCAATGTGAAGTCGTAACTTTCGTAATAATAAGTTGAATATTATATTCACATATACAGGTGTCCCGAAACTCAACGTCAAGCGAGCACCGGGTGAGAGGCCACCCATACCTATTCTGGTAAAAATAAGAAAAAAATTCCATGTCTCTTAGTTAAGTGGTAATAAACATATTTTTGAAAATGTTAAAAATCGTTCCCGATCTTTAGGTACGACGGTCAGAAATGTTCACAATTTAATAGTAATTTTTTTAATAATGTTTTCCTTATGAACCATGTTACTATAGAAGTTACAAATTAAGCAACAAAAGTCGTTACTTTTGCAAAAAGGAAATTTGTTTGATTGAGATAAGGTTGAAAGAATTTATGTTTATTAATTTTGACACACGATATCTTAAAAAAAGGAGTAGTACAACACAATGGGCGAGATATCTTAAAAGATGGCCTGTTTAGTCAAGATTCCAAAATGTTATAACACTTGCCATTTTTCTTTATCTAAAAAATATTATTGCCTGTTTTTGCCTGCTTCATGTGGAATCGATAAATGGACTACTGATCAAGAATCGGAAAAAGTGAGTACCTTTTTGTCAGCATTTGAAAGTCGTGCAAACTATGCTTGCATATATCGTTTTACGTAAAAATTTTCTCTAAATTTAATTAGTGTGTATGACTCCATTACTAAAACAACAATAGAATTATGTAAGAATAACTTTAGGAGACATGGAATATCACATCATATATAGTTTGGAATTTTAAACATAACACCCCTTCGCCTCATTATCCCAAAGGTAACGGTAAGGCGGAATCAACTGTAAAAGTAGAAAAAATAAAAAAATTTCAATTTATTACATTTAAGAAATACGACCAATAAAATGGAAACCAGCCTAACTTTAAGGTTGTTTTCACGTTTCACAAGGATCAATACCAACAGCTACCAAGAATTTGAAACCTAAAATAATAAAAGGAGTCGAAGAAGTTATTGATTGAGTTATTCAAACGCTATGCGAAATACTATGGCAAAAATATAAAACAACTTCCACCGTTACAAATTGAACAATCAGCAGCAGTTCAAGTAAGGCTCGAACAAAACAAAAATAGATGAAAGCTACATAACTGAGAAAGAAACCCCTACAGAGAAAGAAACATCCAAATTTCAAACACTCGCCATGGCGGAGGGTCGGTATGTGGATGGTTTTGGAAGCTAAAATGGGGAGTAGGAGGACCTGTGCAGTGCTAATGCAGTGAATGTTTGTGTAAAGACAGTAGCATTACGGCTGAGGGTAATAGAGAAAATAGGAAAAATGACCAAGAGAATTTACCAGTTAAAGGAAGAGATAGACCAAAGAGACAGTGTGGTTTCCCAAATAAATATAAAGATATTTAATGTAAAAAACATAAAATAAAATATAATAAAAATAATAAATAAAAATTGACCTATCGATATGCAGACTGACAAAATTTTAAAATAATTATATTAACACCATCGTACTAAATATGTAATTCTACATCCTCTTTATAACGGGCTGAAGAGCTAGCTTATCAACGACTTCACATGTTCACTCTATTTGATGCATCTAGTATATTTACATTTCATTACATTTACACTTACATAAATTATATATCAGGTAGGTAGACCAACCAACCTTGCACCGCGATTCTAAGAATCTATTGTACCCCTATAGATAACATTATCAAATTTCTCCGTGCAGTCCAAAGCTCTTAACGAACATTAACACCTTGGTCGGTGAAAAGTCATTCAGATCGTTTGAAGAGATAAACTGCGACCCAAAAACCGAGAATCTGATACGATTAACAGCAGGGCAGTGGCATAAAACATGCTCAACCGTCTCCTCATCCTCCACACATAGTCGGCATTCAATATCGTCGGCTAGGCCCAACAAGTTGAGGTGTGTCTTTATTCGGCAGTGCCCAGTAAAGATACCCATTAGAACTTTAATGCTGCTACGAGCAAGTCCTAAGATATTCCCGGGTTTAACAGTGACGATGTTAATAAACAACTTAGCGTGTCTCATTCCAGGAGAACTGGTCCACAGTAGGCGAAGTCTCTCTTCAGCCCACAGTCCAATCCTATGTCAAATGATGATCAAATTGTCATCGCAAATGATATATCAACTGCTGGCTCTGACCCCACAACGCTTTAGGGCTGCCCTCTCGTGCTAGCTCATCTGCTACTTCATTGTCAGCAATCCCAGAGTGACCCAGATCAGAGAAACTCTATTATCACAACTCAGTGTGTTTAAAGTTCTTTTACAGTAATTAACTAGAGTCGACACCGTTTTCACGAATTACAGCACCTGAAGAGCGGCTTTGACTGTCTGAGAAAAATCGTACTGTCATGTTCTGCACCCCTCTCTCAAGAAGGATTTTATCACCTATGTCAACAACAAATACTTTCGCCTGAAATACAGTATGTACAGTATGTCTCCAGGCTGCAAGCTTTGTTAATCCGAAGTATCTGGCAGTATACTCTTGCCCCACCCCTTCCGGAGTTTTTGATCCATCTGTGAAGATACAAATATCTGCCTGAACCAGAGAATTTTCGTTTTCGATCCAGAACTACCGTTTAGGGAGTACAATCTGGTATCGAGCATTTATTATTTATTGTGTCTACCGCAGCCCATTAGTATATTACATTCTGATAATGATTTTGTTACATATGGAGCCGTATCCATACAATCCAAGGTAAAGCTCGGTATAGCCAGTCAGGAAGGTCGATGGTACGTAACCAAGATATTCAAACCATGATCAGTACTCGGATAGAAACCAATAAGAACACTCAGTGGTTACAATGCCTGACATTTTTTAAAGCAATGATGAACAGAGTTTATCATGAACGCTTTAAACATTCACCATACGAGGCAGTTCTCGAATGTCCATTGAAAATGGGTCTAATTAGCTCAAAACTACCATCCGCTATACTTCGGAGCTTGAAAAGTGAAGGAGGTCTGGAGTAATACGCACTCCAGATCTCCTTCACGACTCTTATCGACGACTGATGTGCCAGAAAATAGTATCTATAGTGCACAATGTTTTGTACAATTTCAGCTTTATCCTTCGAGAAGACAACTCTGAACTTTTACACCATACCCAACTATAACCACTAGGTATTAATAATTAATCAGTGCTTTGTTAAGTTGTAAATAACGAAACTAATACTGAAATGTGTGGGAATGTATTAGCTTACTTACCAGTGTACAAAGTATTGGGTTTTCATCACTAATGATAACTTGTAAAGATTTAAAATATTTTTAACCCAATATCTTTTCTAACAGTTTTTCGGGCCAAAACTTTTGTGATCTACTACAATCCCCAAAAATCTATATTTAGAACAAAAACATTTAGGACACAAAAGACACATAAGTCGTTGGTAACTTATAGGTTAGGTTACTTCCACCACCTTCCACCTTAGATTCCAGATTTGATTTCCCAATATTGCCAGATTTATCATTTTTCACTTTAAATTTTTAAATGCAACACCCTGTATTAATATTCCTTACTTGGATTCTAGTATATGTAACCCTTGAGATTTGATGTATTCAGAGAGGTATTAAATTAATACAATTCTCTATAGAAACTAGATATGAAGTAATTTTTTCTAGTATGCTAACTAAAATTGTCTGTAATTCGATGTGGTTTGAAGAGTTCTGCCAAGTATATCGCTTCTCTCAGATGGTTCATAATGAAAAACGGAGCCTTACTGTCGGAATGGGGAGAGGGTACGAAGGCATAGCAATATTTTATAGTTGTAGTGGCAAACATGTTGAGCAATAGCCAGCCCGTTGTTTCTCAATTTGTTTTTCTATCTATAATGCGACGATACAAATAGATGTGAAGCCTTTTGAGGAAACTAGAAACGTAAAGGATTAATACCAAAGAGGTCGACCAAACAATGATACGAATGACTACAAACATTAAGATCAATACAAAATTTAATTGAAGATCCACATGCATTCTCTTCTTCAGTTCTTGCGTGCATTACCTAGGAATAAATTTAAGCCATGCAACATTCAGATAATACAAAAATTAACGCAAGATGACTTCAACTGTAGTTTAGAATTTAGTGAGGTATTATATGTAGATTCAATTTTTTATTTCTTCCTTCTAATAGACGCATTCTACCATCGAAGGGACCACATCTTGAATACTTAATTAAGTAGTGCATTATAATTTAGTGCAACTACATTAAAGTTTATTACAATTAAAGTTTATTTTAAAGTTAATTGTTTTGAAAACATTATACTCGTATGAGAACACTTTTTTAAATATATTATTACAGAGAATTAAAAAAAAATGTACAACAATGGATTAACACGTGTCCTATTGATCGATATTTATTGTAACTAGCATAAAACTATCGAGAATTTCTTGACGTTTGGTTACATCCACGTTTCTAGCAAATAATTTTCCATCATGATTTTCAAAATAATTAAATTATTCATCCTGCGAAACTAATTACCTATACAAATACCGTTAATAAAATTTAATTAAACATTGTGAAATGTTACGTAAAAGCGGTGTATTGACCTTGATGCCGATTTTTAACAAGACTTTGACCCTAGTACCGTCAATGCCAGCATTAGCTCCTGTTACTATTGCTATTTTATTCTTTAAATCGATTTATAATTATTGTTTTTCGAAAAAGGTTTGTTGATTTCGCATTGAACGACTGCATTATATGTATAACACACGAAAACACTTGTGTATTATGGGAAAAGATAAGTCTATAATTCCTCTAATTCAATATCTTGTGTTATTATGACTAATTGTCTTTGTAAGAAAAACACATAAATACTTGGCATAATAATCGTGTTATGTCCTGAGTTTTTATTGTTTTGTATTTATATGTGTAGGCTGAATCTCATTAAAATGTTCTTTTTAAAGTGCATAGATATTAAATTAAGTTATTTATCTTGAAAAAGCTATATAAAAAAATATACTATAGAAACTCACTTTATCTTTATCTTTATTTATTCTAATTATGAACATGTATTAACCACTACTACACCACAAATCATGTCTTCTTAATTTTTTTCTTTTCCATTACGAATTATTTTTAAAATCTTCTCCAAGTGGTCTTATCATCAATTCAGTTATCTACAATGAATTTCAAATTACTATCAAATTCCAGTTTTAAGTATTTCTGATTTAACTTACATGAACTCGTTGTGGAAGAGATAATAAATAAATAATAGTATCTGAAACATCCTCACTTTCTAAATGTGGTAATTTCTCATAAAGTCCATCACTCATTTGTTGAGAAAATCCGCTTGCTAAAACAATTTCCGTTTTTACCACTCCAGGACTCAACGTCTACAACAAAATATAAAACAAAAACTCAAAATTTAAAAAGATACTTTCAACCAACCGTAATTTTAATTTTACTATTCATTCTAGCAAGTTCAATTCGAATATTTTCTGTCATAGTTACTAAAGCACATTTCGATGCTCTGTACATAACTGCAGTTGGATCTCCGAAATCATAGTACCCCGCAACACTGTTAACGTTAATTATATGTCCATCGATTTTATTAATTTTCATGATTTTTACGGCTTCTCTACAAGTGATGGCGATGCTCATAAAGTTGGTATCCATTGTTTTTTTCCATTCATCTAATTCTCCGGTAAGCACAGAAGTGGAGACATAAACTCCAGCATTATTAATCAAAACGTAGACGGGACCAACGTTTTTTGTAACCCAGTCAAAACCATCGAGAATATCTTGCGGTTTTGTTAAATCCACACTTCGAGCAAATAATTTTCCGTTATGATTATCGACTAGCTTTTCAATTCGCTCTTTTCTTCTAGCAAATCCAACCACCTAAAAATATAAAAATTAACAATAATAAAGTAATTAATTTTCAAAATAAAATTTGAAAAATTACCTTCATTCCAATATTTAGTAAAGATTTTACAGTAGCTGCACCTATTCCGGCACTAGCACCTGTTACAATTGCAACCTTGTCTTTTAAATAATCCAAACTCATTTTGAAAGGTATTGACGTGAACAAGACTTTACGCTATCTCGTCGGTGACTGATTTTTGTTCGGTATAGATACGTAATTTTATTTGATCTGTGCGGATATAAATATAAAAATAAATCATAGATAACTAAAGCGTTTTTGTGTTCGTCCTTGCGAAATTTGTTTCATTACGTTGCGTTTACTTAATTAATGCCATCTGTTGATTTGTTTATTTTCCTGATTTCACTAAATGGTGTTATTAGAAATTATATCTAAAATAACATAATCGAAAATAAATTTAATTTCTATATTGAAATCGTTAAAAAAAAAAAAAATAATAATAATAATAATGCCTTTTTATTAATTGAAATCATTACATTATCTGTAACTTAATAATGAAAGTATACAGGGCGTAGTTAAGGACCTAAGTCCTTCTCTTCCACTCAACCCTGTTTTATACATAAACATAAACCAAAAAAAGAAACAAAATTAAATGAATAAAAATCAAATAATAATCATATGAATAATAATCAAAATAATCAAATAATAATAATCAAAATAATATAATGAATAATAATCAAATGAAAAAACAGGTTGTACAAAATATACAGGTTGTATCTGAATGACTGCAACAAACTTCAAGGGGTGATTCTTTAGTGAATTTTAAGGGTACTTTGATATATGAACCATGGGCGACTTCGGCCCCTCTAAGGAGCTACACCCCTCCAAAAATGGCGGAAAATTTTGGTTTAATTTTTTTTTCTCAAAAACCATAAACGCTAGGAAAATGAAATTTGGGGAATATGTTTAACTCATAATAGGGCACGTTTTGACCCTATTTGTACTTTCAACCTACCCTTCTAAACTACTAAACGTAACCACCCCCGTTCAATTTATGCCTAGATTTTTTTTATGAAGATGATAAATACATTGGAAAAATTTCAGTTAGATAGATAAAACTATTCTAAAACTTTTTTGTCTCTCTGATGTTCTTCTAAAAATTAATAATTTCTGAGAAAAAAAATAATTAAGCAAACACTAACTGTTAAGCTGTAGGGTTGTTAATCGAAAGTTGGAATGAATTTTTAATGAAAAAATCTTAGTAGGCTTTGCAATCTTTGTCAGAAATATTTTTGACGTTTAAATGTCAGTGGTTTTCTTACTATTATTATTGTTTTATTTAAAATTTTGAAACGTCGAGTGAACGAGCGTAAATGCGATAGAACTTTATTCAAAAATTAATTTGAAAAACAATAATAATAGTAAGAAAAACTGACATTTAAACGTCAAAAATATTTCTGACAAAGATTGCAAAGCCTACCAAGATTTTTTCATTAAACATTCATTCCAACTTTTGATCGACAACCCCATTGTTTAACGGGCAGTGTTTGCTTTATTATTTTTTTTTCACATAAATTAGTCGTTTTTGGAAAAATTTTAGAGAGACAAAAAAGTTTTAGAATAGTTTTATCTATCTAACTGACATTTTTCCAATGTGTTTATCATCTGCATAAAAAAAATTTTTGCAAAAATGTAAAGGGGGTGGTTACGTTTAGTAGTTCAAAAGGGTAGGTTGAAAGTACAAATAGGGTCAAAATGTGCCCTATTATGAGTTAGACATATTCGCCAAATTTCATTTTCCTAGCGTTTATGGTTTTTGAGAAAAAGAAATTAAACCAAAATTTTCCGCAATTTTTGGAGGGGTGTAGCTCCTTAGGGGGACCGAAGTCGCCCATGGTTCATATATCAAAGTACCCTTAAAATTCACTAAAGAATCACGCCTTGAAGTTTGTTGCAGTCATTCAGATACACCCTGTATACATTCTTAAAAATAAAACTAAAAGACAAAGATTTATAAACCAAAAATAACTAAAACAAGCTAATCTATAATACAGAAACCAAAACAAAAATATTCCCTTTTCTATTGTCTTGTTTACATCTTAGGTTAAAATTTTAATTATAATACTCACTCATCATAACAAAGTCTATTCACTGAATAATAGAAATCTAATTCAGTCTAATTCAAGTTGCGTGCAAATACCGCTGGTGGTGTCGATTTCAAAGTTCTTGGTAGGGGATTGTAAAACTTCGGGAGGGTGAAAGTAAAAGATCTTTGAAATAATACTGTTGTATGCTACGGAGGTGAAATTAGACCCTTACTTCTGTAGCCGTTACGATCACGTCATCGATCGATGACGGTGACCACATGTTCGGACGAGTCGATGAAGAACGGAATAGAAGTAGTTGGACCGTAAAAGTCTTCGTATGTGTTTTTCCAGTTCTTGTATTTTCGTTAAATAAATGTGTTAACAAACAGCGAGACTTTTAGTACTTCATTTCTAACATTTAGATTGTGAATATCCGTTCTGAACCCTATCTTATTACTCAAATAACGTGGTTCTCGCAACATTAAAAGTTTATAATAAAAAGTAAGCAATCTGAACTTTCTTCTATTAGCCATGTTTAGGCCCGTTACTACCAAACGTTTAGTAATTTAGTCGAGTAGCGAGTAATTTAGTAACTCGCTACGTGCTGACAGTACAATTTAGTCGAGTAGTTTACTAAAACGATTTAGTCGAGTAGATCCATTTGATTCTATTTTTTCGGTGGAGTAGCGTACCCCCATTACTCACAACTGCCTAATAATACTTACTAAACACGTGCGAACGCATAAATTTAGTTTAGTGAATTAGCAATTGTATTGCGCGCGATGACGCCGTCTGTTTATCTTGAGTACTACTAAAGTGTCTTGACCGTATTAAATGTGGACAGTTGCCATCTACTAAACGTTCCAGTGGTGAGTGACTACTTGCTACTCGACTAAATTACTAAACGTGTCTGTACGGGCCTTTAGATAAGCTAGCTATAAGATACCGCTAAACTAATAGTTTACGGAGTCGGCGGTCCTACCACCTCAAGTTATCTCACAGGTAGGATATCTTTAAGATATTTAAAGAATCTAGTGATTTTATTTCGGGTGAATTTTTAAGTTGGCAACCATACAGTCAAAAGGCCTAATATTTTGACATTTATAGTTTATTTTAACTCATTTCCGCTCATTCTAACGTCAAACGTCGTCATAAATAGCACGTGTTTCAGTGATTATTTTATTCAAAATGGAAAACGACAATAAAAAAAAACGTAACGCAAATTATTCCAAACAAGAAATGGAACTGCTAATTGATTTAATTATAGAAAAAAAAACATAATAAAAAATAAAAAAAGTGACGCCGTTCACTGGCAGGAAAAGCATCAAGTACGTATGTACATAATTTTATTTAGTAATATGGAATAATGCTTCTACATCCGCTGTATTGCGTTATATAAAAAAAATGTTTTTTGGTTATTTTAGACATGGTGTGAAATAGCCCGGGCTATGATAGCCACTACAGGTATTGACCGGGATGTAAAAAGTGTCAAAGGGAAGTGAGAAAAAAGAATTCTATGATACGCATGAACACAATGAAGACCGGTGGGGGTCCTGTAGAAATTGTGTCCTTAACTCCTATTGAGGAAAAAGTGAAAGGTAAATTTACATTCGAATGATGTTAAAGTAGGTAAAAATGTTTATGCTTTAGGTCTCATACTATTATCAGTTGTTAGAATGCCATCAACATACGATTCAGATGTAATCACACTAATCACACATTCTGATTCTTTATTAACTGAGTTGGCGGTTACTGATGTAGAAGCAACAACTTCTACATCAGGCCTCTCACCTACTAGGAACGTTGTATTGGCTTTTACATCAGTAGATGCCAGAACACGTTAGTCGGAAGCAGAATGTGTGATTGAATGGAGCGCAACTGATGTCATTCCAACCGCTGGTGTAGAAGAGACAGCGGATACGCCACCATCACAAGTTGAAAATAAAGAAAATTGATCCTCTTGGACGCCTCAAAATTTAAAAAAGAGGAAAGCAAAATTCAGCTTCTAAACCAAGTAATTTATTCAATTATGTGTTAAATCATTCTAATACTTTATTTTTATTAATAGAAACAGCCAATCAAAAAGTTCACAATGAATTCAACAAGCTCACAGAAAAACGTGTGGAATTAACTGAGTTGCTAATAAAGCAAGCTAAAGAAGAACACGCCAAAAAAATGGAGCTCTTGGATCTTCAAATATTATTAAAAAAGAAAGAGGCTGGCTTATTATAAAGATTTTTTATTGTTTATTAGATAATATTCTTAATGTTTAAAAAATAATAATAAATATTCGTTTCTTAAAACAAATTATTTTATTGTAAATTTGCAAAATAATCAATAATTTCGTTCCTACGTGTTCTGTCTTCGTTGCCCCGCTCTGCCGGAAGATGATTATCCCATTCTTCAATCTCCTCCTCATTGGGTGGTAGATCGTCTTTCATATTAATACACATGTTGTGTATTACCGCTGTAGCGACAATTAGAGGCTGCAATCTATAAATAATGAGAGTAGTATACATGACTGATTATTTCAGTATAAGGAAATGGTATACCTTTCAATTGAAATTCTTAGTTCCAACCGCAGCACTTGGAACCTTCCATGTATCTCTCTTCTACTAACTAACGTATAGCGGATGTTTTGTTGATCGCTTTGTTGTTGTAATTATGTTAGTTTATGTTATAATTTCTTTTTATGTTAATTTTTCGTTATTATGAGGATGCTTTGTAGGGGATATTCTCCCTGTATGCATCCCGAACATGTAATAAATAAAATAAAAAAATAAAACAAAATCTAAAAAATATTTAAGAAAGATTGTTAAGAAAATATTGAATTATACGTATGTATATCATGAATATTTTGTTTGATAATTTAGCCAGTTTATCAAATTCATATCGGTTTTCCTTTGCAGAAACTGATTATATTAAACTTAACGAGCTCGAACTAGTCGAAGTAAATTCACGTTCTTCTTTTTCTTTCGTTCAAAAATGGATTTTCTTCTATGATATTCTCACTTGCGGGTAAGTATCTCAGATTGATAAATATTTTCCAATTGTACAGTTTCCTGTGATAACCGGGATGAAATGTTCTTGGTAGTAAACAATAATTGTGACCTGGACTACGGAAAGGGGGTTTATGTGCGAAAGTATAATTTTATTTCTACGAAAAAAAAATCTAAAATTAAAATTTGCATTTTACGTTTCTTATTTAAAGACATTAAACTTTCGATGCAAATAACTCAGCCGCGAAGATAGTTGCGAAGCTGAGGTTAAGTTCATTGAAAAGATCGCACTTTACACTATTAGAAGATTCAAAATCGACCTCTTCACACCTAAGCCCCCTTTCCATAGTCCAGGTCACAATTAATGACTATGAATGCCAGCGCAACATCACAAATTAAATTTAGGAGTGGTTATTGTACCGATTACTGCCACGTTTGAATTTGTCAATACAAATTGAAAACGATTTTATAAAAAAATTAAAATATAGTGCAGTGGCCTAGTCAGATAGTAGATTGTTAGACAGTTCAATTTAATTTTTAAGTGTGGAAATTAGAAGACACTAGTGAATTGATAATGAAAACGTATGGTAGTGATTAAATACAAAAAATACTTTTAAAAAAATGTTTTTTTGTACTATTGAAAGTGTTGGAAGCAGATAAAACTACTTAAAGTAAACAAAATACTTAAAGCACATTATAGTATTTCAAGTACTTTTTATGTCAAACAAGAAAAAGTATTCAGTAAATACAATGAAAGTACAATGAAAGTACTTGAAGTAAACTACTTAAATTAATAAAGTACTGAATACTGTCCTTACATTTTTACTGCAAGTAGCTCAACTGTAGTTGTAGCAATGATGGATAATTGTGGGGTGTTCCTATACATTTCTGAAACGTTTCTGGAACTTTCGCAGAGACTAGCAATGGGATATACCGGCTGTCCCGAAACTCAACGTCAAGCGGGCACCGGGTGAGAGGCGAACCTGAGCCAACCCATACCTGTTCTGGTAAAAATGAGAAAAAGGTTCCATGTCTCTTAGTTTGTTACGTGCCAATTTTGTGTTAAAGCTTTTCTTATTTTTTTAAACGAATACTTTCTTTGTTAGTAACACAAATTTCCATGCCATTTGTTGTTGTTTGTTTTTTTTGTTTGTTTCAGGCCAGCTCGGCGAACGATTATTCTTTTTTTGATCTTCCCGTTTTAATCCTTAAATTCCTTGTAGTTCCCTATTTCTTAAACTAATTTAAATTTTCGATTTTGATTTGTAGAGGTCGCGAGGAAATTTAAAATTTTTATCGTGGCGGGTATAATTTTTGGGGGTTTCAAGTATTTCGCGCATGTCAATTTTTTTTGAATCAGGCGATTTGGTTTTAGCCGTGTTAACCCGGAAATCGCTCTCTTTACAACAACCAGTTAAGGGGATTGTACGTGTACGACGATAGTATTGGGCGACATTTTGGAAAATTAGTTTTTTTTTGGATTTTGGGTGATCGCTATTTCCGATTATTTGGGATAATCGTTGTACGTCGGCATTTTTTTTTAATCAATAAATAAGTTTTTTTTTTAAGAAAAAAATTACGGAGAAATTCCGGATTTTGCACGCAATTCTTATTTAAGAACTTTTTTTTACTGGTTAAAACCTCACACACACGATTTCTAAAAACTCTATTTCTACAACACGTTTTTCTGCAAAAAATACGTTATTTAAAAAATTCACACTTTTGTATGTTATTTGTATTTACTTTTTATTTCCTCTTAACTTTGTTAGAAGATGTGCCAGTCAATATGTCTTGCAAAAAGACTCTTTCAAATAAGGTTAATCTAAAGACAAAATTAAACAAACAAATTTATTTATTATCAATTTTAGAGCATTATTTTCTTAAAACTAAGGCAAATGCTCAAATTATTTGCCGTCGGCACTAATACAAGGTCTACATCGTCACAGAAAAGATCTTTTTACTAGTTGTGCAAATCTCTTTACATTTATTTCTTCTGCTGCTGTATAAATATTGTGGCTCAGTTCAATCAAAAACAGGCAATCATATTTATTAGGAAAAGAAAAATGGCAAGTGCAATACCATTTTGGAATCTTGACTAAACAGGCCATCTTTTAAAATAACTTGCCAAGGGTGTTGTACTACTCCTTTGTTGAGAAATCGTGTGTCAAACTTAATAGACATAAATTCTTTCAACTTTAACTCAATCAAACTAATACCTTTTTTTTTGCAAAACTAACGACCTTTGTTGTTCGATTTGTGACTGCCATAGTAGCATGGTTCATTAGGAATACATTATTAAAAAATCACTATTAAATTGCGAACATTTCTGACCGTAGTACCTAAAGATATGATGTACGGGAACGATTTTTAACATTTTTAAAAATATGTCTATTACCACTTAACTAAAAGACATAGAATTAAACTAAAATTAGAACTAACACTTGCACTATCACAAGAACTAACACTAGACCTAGAACTAGAACGTTTCGGCTGCCATGTTGCAACCGTCTTCAGAAACAAGTTCGAAGTGACTTCACTTCGAAGGTTGGTTAATATCATAGAATTTTTTTCTTATTTTTACCAGAACAGGTATGGGTTGGCATCTCACCAAGTGCCCGCTTGACGTTGAGTTTCGGGACAGTACTTATTGTTATTCAAAATACTCATGTTTCACTTTTTTATTAAATAGCTTTTTTATTTACGTACTTTTATTAACTTTGTAAATACAAACACCTAGAAGTATTAATTCATTTAAAAGAACGCGTTTATTTTTATGGATTATTCATTAAATCTTCTCCAAGAGGTCTTATAATAAGTTCTGACACCTAAAATTAATTTAATAACATCAAAATTTATCTGAAAACTATTTCCAATATAACTTACATGAACTCGTTGTGGAAGAGATAATAAATAAACAATGGTATCTGAAATATCCTCACTGTATAAATGAGGCAGTTTATCGTAAATTCTATCATTCATTTGTTGAGGAACTCCACTCGCAATCATAATATCTGTTTTAACCAATCCAGGACTCAACGTTTACAATATTCAAAAATTAATTCATCTCATTTCAAATTACAAAATCATAATAAACCTACAGTAATTTTTATTTTACTATTCATCCTTGCAAGTTCAACTCGAATATTTTCCGTCATAGCCACCAACGCACATTTTGAAGATCTGTACATAACCGCATTTGGATCTCCGAGATCATAATAACCCGCAACGTTGTTAATGTTAATTATATGACCGTCAATGTATCTCTTTCATTACTTTTACTGCCTCTTTGCAAGTAATGGCGAGGCTCATGAAATTGGTGTCCATTATGTTTTTCCAATCTTGTAACTCTCCGTTAAGTACAGAAGCAGCAACGTAAATACCGGCATTATTAATCAAAACGTGAACGGGACCAATGTTTTTCGTCACCCAATCGAAACCATCGATTATTTCTTGGGGGTTTGTTAAATCGACACTTCGAGCAAATAATTTTTCGTTATGATTTGTAACTAAATTTTCATTCTTTCAATCGTTCTTTTCTTCTAGCGAAACCAACCACCTAAGAAAAATATTAATTTGTAATTGATTTGGATAGATTGTTAATAATATTGAATATTAATAAAATTACCTTCATTCCTATATTTAATAAAGATTTTACAGTAGCTGCGCCTATTCCTGCACTAGCACCCGTCACTATTGCAACTTTGTCTTTTAAATTATTTAACATCATTTTGAATGATCTTGTGGCAATTGGCGATTATTATATACTGCACTGTTTATTGGTGTTGGATACACGCTAAAATACAAATAATTCCGTTAAAAATATTATAGCCGTGTTAACTAGGAGATAATAAATTGCACAATCATGTCAATAAACATTAGATAATTATAGCATTTACGATTGTCATTGTAGTACTGATAGCGTCTAAAACTTGAATAATTACGGTAAAATTATATTTATCAAAAAGTTACTTTTATTTAAAAAAATCTTAACATAACAGGTTACTTTTTTAATTAAAATTAATTAAAGATTGAATTCTTAATTTATTTCTGCCCAATTGGTTTTATGATAACATCAACAACCTAAAAAGAAACAATAAAAAGCATAATACTAAACCAAATCTAATTTTTTATTTCTTTTTACCTTGACATGTGGAGGATTACTCAAAATATACTTAACAGCGTTTGTAACGTCTTCCACGTTTAAAAAAGGTAACGTTGTCTTGAAATTTTTATCAAATTCCTCTTTAGTAAACACACCACTTGACACCCAAATATCTGTCTCAACAATACCTGGACTAACACTCTAAAACAAAACCAATATTATGTAAAAATTAATATGCAGATTTATAGGTATATATTTAATACCGAAACTCTAATTTTTGAATTAAGTCGTAATAAATGCAATCGTATACTTTCAGACAAAGCTTTCAATCCATGTTTTGAAGCAATATACATATCGAACGCATCCACATCGTCAACTTGATGACCAGCAGTACTCCCGATATTGATAATAATTCCATCGATATTATTTTTCGTCATTTGGAATATTGCTTCACGGCATGTTACCGATGCACCGATAAGATTCGTGTCTATAGTGTCTTTCCAATCTTTGATAACTCCGTCTATTATATTGTTTTTACCTGAAATTCCTGCATTGTTAATCAAAATTGTTAACGGTCCAACATTCTCTTCTATCCATTTAAATGAATTTATAATTTCCTCGGGTTTTGTTACATCGCATTTTAACGCATGAAGCGTTCCTTTAAATGAGCGCTTTTGCGTGATTTCTTCTATTTTTTCTTTACCTCTTGCTAAACCAACCACCTTGAATAAATTGAAGATATATTTTTTGAGAAATGAAGAATTATACAAAATTAAAAAGAAGGTATTCTTACTGTTATTCCATTATCCAAAAGCATTTCTGTTATATTTGCACCAATTCCGGCACTAGCGCCGGTTACAACAGCTACTTTATGTTCGTATTGGTTCATGCTTCCTAAATAAAATTTGTTTGTGCCATACGAATTTAAATAGTTTTGATTAATAAAAAAACATCAAGGTTATCTTAATACTTAAAATTTAATAGTTACATAACGTATTGAAATTTTACACAGAAAAGTTACGATTGAATGATTCGCATAAAATAATCATGACCGCTTATTTAGTATTTTTGTATAAACAATTTTTTTGACATTCGATTCCTACTATTTGTTAAATGTCGAATTTCATTTCATGCAAATTTTTATGCAAAAGGAAAATTTAACGCTGAATTTTAATAATAGCAATCATTTTAATGAAACACTATAGAATGTGACAAGCGATAATATATTATTTTTTATGTTAATAGTGTCCGCTTCATGTACGTTTTCTTTAGAAATAATTTATGCAAAAATTTCAACTTTAGAATTCAAGGACTTAATGAATAAGGAACCAAAACATATTCTTGTTCACCATCAGAAACAATTTCATAAGCGAAAAGGCTTGATGGAACGAAAACAAAGAAAAAGATGAATCCCTTGATATTGTATTTTTCTGTGTTTTTGAGTTGAGTTTGTGACTGGGAGAAGTGCTTTCAGTCTGCATTGAATCTTCAGATCAATTGATGCTTTTAAACGTTTACACTGACCGGTTGTTGGAAACGGGGAAGGCTTCTATACGATTAAATTTTTTTCTTTAACTTTAGTTGGTTTGCCTATCCCCTTATCTTTGTTTTGTTGTATTATTGAGGTCGTAACAAGCTGTTTTGAGTTCATTATCATTTTACTAGTTATTAATACATTATAATGTTTGCTAATCATTTAAATTTACTAATTATGTATTACGAAGGAATCCCGCAATGAGTAATTTTCAAAAATTTGTTTTTCAAAAACTAATAGGTATTATTAAACACTTACTCTCTTTGTTTTAATTTGGTGTTATTTTTTGAAATTTGGTTTTACGTTATCCAGTAGACATAACATTCTTCTTCTCAATAAAATCTCTTCCGGACATTTCCAGGTTATCGTGTTCGACATAACATTTTCTTTAGAGCTGGTTTAAACTGGTTTCTATTGTTACTATAATATCAAGATGAAGCTAAATGGTTTCAAATTAAGTTCTTGTGTAAAAATCTTTGAAAATAAAGGCCATTTCATTGCTAGTAATTACTAGAATTAACTGTCCGCTCCAAAGACGCGGAATACAAATAAAACGCGTTAAGTTTAATTAATTGTTTAGTTTAAGGAAACGTTCAAATAATAATTAACTTAAATTTACTTCTTTCAATTAGAATGTGATAACTAAAGATAGTTCCGCAATGAAAATCAGGAATTACGTCGCAAGATTCTCGAAACTGTCGCGGAGTTACCAGAATTTTAGCGTGACTTCGATTACGAGTTAATCAGAATTGCATGAAGAACTAAGAAATTAAAAACGCAGCTGTGTACATCTTTCGTTATTACCATTCATGTGACGTCAGGGATGGCACCTGCTACGAATGTAACATTAGATGAAGGTGTAACTCATTCTTAAGAATAGCTTGGTGTTTTTCCCTGTTGGCTTTGCAGTTTCTTTTCTTCCTACTAAGTGAATTATTACATATGAACTCCACAACAAACAAACTTGATAGGCTGATAATTCAGCTTTTATTCAAATAGGATTTGAAATCTTTTAAATCTGCTGCAAATACAAGCCACATAGTTATCGAATACGTCTTAGTATTTAATTTTATTAGGATTATTTAAAAAATCAGCTTAATGTCGTGGTGGTTTACATTACTTAATTGCCTAATAACTAGTTTATAACTAGTTTTGATTTAGAAGTATTCAAGAGGAATAAGCAACTGATTGGAAGTGTGGAAAATATGTCAAACGCATTACTTCACATCCTACTTAATTGCTTTAATACATACAGTACTTTTGCGAATATCTTTAGCAAATTGACAAATGAGTATTTGATTGTAGAACTTTCTTTCTCATTCAAACAAGATTAAAATTACATCACTATGTTTGTATAACATTGAATGGTCTCTAAAAAAATATGCGTAACTTTTAGTGCAAAACTTTCAATGGGATCGGATTTATCGGTAATGGGGTCATACACGTTTCATACATGTTTTGTTGAAACTGTCATACCGTAAGCGCTATCTAACGGACAATTTAACTTGTTTCCGACTGTACACCTCCTACGTCACAGAAAAGCCGCGAAATTATTTCGTTTGAATACTTGCTATTTTCCACTTCAAATTACGCAAAATATAAATTTTATCAAAAGATTTCTTTTATGTTGTGTTCATACATATACTTGCATACATACGTATATATTTACGTAAAAATTGTCTCTAAATTTAATTAGTGTGTATGACTCCATTTATGTTCCAAGATATGTTAATCTTGACATATTACACTTATGATTGTTTCCATTCTTTTTATTGGATCATTTTTTTATTAAATACAGTGAAATACATTTTATTACAAACATAAAAATTGCACAATAAACCTAACCAAATTGTTTAAAATCTTCTCCAGTAGGTCTTATGATAAGCTCAGAAATCTAAAATATTAAAAAAGGAAAATATTAAGCTTTCAATAATTTAAATTAGTACTTACATGAACACGTTGAGGTGTGGATAAAACATAAACAACCGAGTTTGCAACATCTTCACTTAAAATATATGGAAATTTCGAATAAAAAGCTTCACTTGCTTGTTCGCCATGGTTCACAGAAATAATATCTGTTTTTACAACACCCGGACACAAAGACTATAATATTAAAAAAAAGTAAATACTTAAATTAACTAAAAACAATCAGCTTACAGTTATTCTAATTTTGCTATTCATTCTGGCTAATTCAACTCGCACATTCTCTGTCATAGCTCTTAATGCGATTTTAGAAGACCTATACATAACATTACTAGGTATCCAGGGATCATAATAACCAATAGTGCTGTTAATATTGACGATATAGCCGTCAATATTATTCTCCGTCATGATTTTTACAGCTTCTTTAGAGGCTATTGCATAACTCATAAAATTAGTATCCATGATTTGTTGCCAAGTTTCTAATTGTCCCGTTAAAACTGACGAGGCAATAGCTACACCTGCGTTATTAATTAAAACGTGTACAGGACCGACATTTTTGGTAACCCAAGCGAATCCGTCGATAATATCTTGGGACTTTGTTAAATCGACGCATCGAGCAAATAATTTTCCGTTATGATTATCAACTAAGTTTTCAATTTTTTCTTGTCTTCTTGCAAAACCAACCACCTAAAAATATTTAAATATAGTTATTGAGTTTTAAAAATACTAAATAAGTTAATATTATACGAAACAAACGTATACTAACGTAAATATAACTAACGTTAGGACATATTTCGTAAAAATAGTATTTATTAAATTAATCTGACCTTCATGCCTAGATTTAACAAGGCTTTGACTGTAGCAGCTCCAATGCCAGCGCTAGCACCTGTTACAATCGCCACTTTATCTTTTAAATCCATTATAAACACACTATATCTCGAAAATAATCTTAAAAATCTGTGTGGAATAAATTTTAAGTTACCGGTTTGAGTTTGCAAAGCAAATCACTGACAAATGTTACAACATGGTTTATATATACGTGACATGAGTGTAGGAAGAGATAAGTGCATGATTACGCTAAATTGATAATCGCGATGCTTTGCGCTATATCTTGCTTCGTCATCTATCTTGATCATGTATAAATTGTTTGGCGAGAGAAATACAAAACATAGTATTGTGTATCTTATTTTAAATTTAAAACATGATGAAATACAAGGGTTTATTTTTAACATCAGATAATCTAATAAATATTAATATGATTAGTTAACGATCCGTTGCGGTGGTTAAGGCATCTAAAACAGCCATTTCGATTTTTTGATGCGGAACTATGGCCAATCAACTATGGCCGGAATCTCATACTTGAGATCGTTCTTCATCTAGTCTTTATATCAAATCTTTTTCTATTAATTCTTGTAATTTTAGATCTCTAGAATAACACATCGATTCTAATTGAAACTTTAAATAGGGAGACGGCTGTACTTTCATGGTTAGTTCTATTAAGAATCTGTTGCAATCTTTCAACATACTTAAACCATTTTTCCGGTTCTTCTACTGATAAGCACTTATTGTTAGACATGATATTATGGTTCTGTTTAAGCTTCCAATTTGTCCGTTTCCTCGTGGTACCCCGGTAGTAAGCAGAACATGATTTGTTAATTTTTAGTGTGTACATAAAATTACGTTGTTGTCGAAGAAAATTGGTTTTCCTAACTTCCTCTCGCTACTATCAAAGCATTAGCCCCGCAGAGGTTAACATCAGTGGGTAACGACCGAGAGCATCAACATACGTTGTCCTGATCGATGACGAATGATATATTGAAATAGTTCTAGTAAAAGTGTCCATCTTGTATTACATAGCTCTGTTTTCTGTCATGTTTTAGTAAATGCTGAACAATCTGTAACAATTTCAAAGTTAATGTCTAATAAATAAACTCTAAACCGTTTGACGCCTTCAATGATAGCTAGTACTTCCAACTATTCCGACTCATTTAATACACAGGAAGTAATTTTTGATCATCTTCACTTTCTTGCATCAGTATTGCACCAAATTGTTAGCAGCATCACAATGTAATTCAGTTTTAGCATCATTTTGATAAATTTTAAGGACAGGACGTTATGATAAGATGGTGTTTAATCTTTCAAATGCTTCTTTCTGAATAGAAAGAATCCTCTTTCATTAAATCACTTAACGGTTTAGCTATCAGCGAATAATTTTTGACAAATTTTTGGAAAATAACCATCAAGGCACAAAGTGATTATAGCTACTTCAGATTTCTAGGATCTGGAAATTTTGTTACAGCTTCTATTTCTCTCGGAGATGGTCGAATACTTCCATTAATTATTTCATAACCTAAATACTCTACTTCTGACTTCAAGGATTGACATTTGTTCCAATTAATCTCTAATCCGTGATCTTCAGCAACCTTTAATACATATTCCAATCTTTCGAGAGCCTCCCTCTCGTTTTCAGCTATAATTATAATATCATCCATGTAAGTTAGAATCATTTCATCCCTGATCAAATCTTTGAAGGTATTGTTAATAAATCTTTGGAATATGGCCGGTGAATTGCAAAGCCCAAATGGTTTTCGAAGAAATTGAAATTGACCAGCAGGGCACAAAGGGTGTAAATTTTCTAATTCTTCTGCAACGAATATCTGTGATTTATGCAATCTGTCTAGCGATTAGTCTTTCACGATTATTTTATTAATTTTTCGGTAATCTACACATAGGTGTGTATCTCCATTTTTTTTTTTGAATAAAACAATCGGACTTGAATTGTCAGAACAGCTGTGTTCCACGACTCCTTCACCTAGCCATCCATCAATTTGTTTATTTATTTCATCAATTTCTGCCTACGATAAACGTCGTGGTCTATCGGAAATCGGAATGTCTTCTTTTAAAACAATTTTTGTTTGTATTGGAGTTGTTATACGTTTTTCCGGTCGATAATTGTTGATCAATTTTCTAACCTCTTCCCTTCGTGTCTTTTATCTCAGGTAAATTGTCAATCGTGTCGTCATCAACAGCAATTTGCATAAATTCTAATTTTTCCTGTATCTTCGTGAAATGGATTTCAGACTGGTTAATCAATACTTCTTCCTGTGAGAGTAAATCATCGCCCAAAAGTAACCTGCAACTCATAACGTTTTCAGGTATAATGTGTATTGTAGACTAACGCACATCGCCATCTATAATAATGTTACACACAGTCCCAAAATCTAATGCTGTTCTTTCCAATGCCAATAAGTGTTATAAACTTTTCTTCATGTCGTGGTATCTTCGAGCGTAAGTAGTTGTTGATGCAAATGAGGTTGATTGCGCTTCCACTTCTTTATAATTCTGTCCTAGTTCATACGCCATTTCATCATTACAGTCATTTCTTCAAAGTTTACTATCCAATCAGTTTCCTGCATTTCATTTTCGCCAGACAATGTATTTAAATAATCTTCTACATTAGGTTGAAATTGAAGTTAATATCCATTATACCAGTTTGTTTAACGTGATAGAAAAAATTTCGAATTTTGTTGTACTTTTACTGGTTTATTTATATTTTTGTTGTCTAACTAGCTTCGGCAAAAAGCCATCATCAGAGACAACTAAAAGAATTAACAATTTTTAATTAATAAGTGAAGTTTAAATATGTGAATTAACAATAAAAAGTTCTTTAAAAAATACTTACAAGTCAATGAATTTTACAGGAAATTAACATCGAAAACATAAAGCGGTGAACAAATTAAAATTATTATTGTCACAAAATTTACTTAAAATAAACGTAAACATTTTTTTACAAAATCTTTAAAAATTTAACTCCGCATGGAACAATCTTCTACATCACGGAACGATAAGGCAAAAGTGGGTTTTGTTGAATGGTCAGCATTAAAATGTTTTTTATCGACGTTTTTTCATCATCGATATGACCTTCCATCTTCTTCATCGCTTTCACTGCTTGATTTTTCACTTTCTTCGTATAATTTCTTCGACTTCATTCTTGTCTTCATCAATTTCATCGGTTTCATTGTTTCTTGGTTGTCGTCGTCGTCTTGAATACAATCTACCTTTATCCCGTCTTCAGCACCGTACTGGTATTCTTCTTCGTTTCTTACACGTTGTGGCATTTTCCATCTTCATTTTCACCGTTTTATTTTTCTTTATCTTTCTTACGTCATCATCGACGGAGGAAACTATAGTATTATCAAATTCCACAAAATCCTTGCCATCGTCTTTATTCATCATATTTTCGTTTTCCTTTTTTTTAGTTGTAAAAAAGTTCTCGTAGAAACAGTCGTTATCGATTGGTAACGAACGCCGTCTGTCTGGCAGTACGATGGAAAATTACGATGGTATCGTATCACTACTGCGTATCATAAAATGCAACGACGCAACGCAGTGTCAATGTATTGTCCCATATCGCCAATGCGTATCCTAATTAAATGTGCAACGGGTATGCGATACGAACCAAAACTGTGACGTTTGTGGATGCATCAAATTCAGATCAAATTTATTAACCGACTTGAATTTTCAATCTGTAAGCGTATTGTACAAAAATTTTACTAGGATGCGCCATCGACATAGACTTTATGTCTATGGGATGCGTGGGATTCTCGATTCTTATTCTAGTCTTTAATACTTATTTAAAATATCAAAGCAAACAATCAAACTTTCATTTTTTCCCTCTGTGGGGTGCTAAATGATAAACCATTTTCTCTTTGCATTCATCAACGGTCTTATCCATTTATGTTGCAATTTCCTCTGACGCATCTTGTTTTCGAAATGTATTGAAATGGTTCGGATGTTTCAGATCCTAAACGATTTCATACCTCCGCTAAGTATCGATAAAACTTATAGTTTCTTCTTTACTCCATTTACACAACACAATGTCGAGTGGTGAGAGAAAAACGAGCTCGTACCAATACTACGTACGTACTGAACAGGATTCAACGTGCAACGCAACTCGTCCAAATACGATTCAACTCCGTATCGTATCATTTCTTTGACGTGATGGTGAAAAACCGACAAATAGAGAATCAAACTCGTTGCGTATCTTTGTATCATGTTTTGATACGCAACTATGCAACGCTTCCCCGTACACTCTGATACGCAACGGTCGGTGATACGATACGCCGATACGCAACAAATGTATACCCACCTTAACGTGTTTCAACAAGAACGGTGGTTATTTTAGCTCTATTTATTGTTTACTTTACAATAATTTGCTTACTTACAGTCTTATGAACAGTTTTTGTCACTAAACACTTTATGTTGATCGCGGTTGAGCCCTCAAATTTGTAGTATTTGGTTGTCAAATTAAAATGACATGTATAACCAAACCAAAATATTTATTTTAATGTAAAGTGACAAACTATTAACCCTCCAGTTGACGAGCTGGGTTTGTGAGATCTGCCAAAATCATTTTTTATTGTATCTTTCCAAATATGTTGTTAAATTGATTTATCTTCTGGGTACCTTCTTATTTTTACTAAATAAGTTTTGTCGTTTAGTTATGAGAAAGGCGTTGAGCCTATTAGACCCAACCCGAGTGTTTGTTTAAGTTTTTTCATCTAACTTTTTATCATAAATGATAGAAACGTTATTGTTAAATGATTTCTATTGTGTATAAAGTGTTTTGGGGCATCCCCAGTCTTGTAACTACGTTTGGACAATACCGATACAAGAGAGGAGCAACAGAAACTAGACAAACTTGCTACCATACATGGGTGAATATGTGACCCTAGACGAAATGCTATTAGCATTTCCCGGAAGATGTAGCTTTAGGGTCTACATTCCAAATAAACTAAATAAATATGGGATAAAAGTGTTTTCTACAGTGAATGCAAGAACCTTTTACACATCGCATTTGGGGATTTATGTTGGACTGCAACTTGCAGGATCCTTTCAAGTGGACAATTCTGCAGTTGCGGTCTTTATGAGAATGACCAACCATATTTCGGGAACAGTAGGGAATGCTACGATGGATCGCTGGCTAACTAGTATCGAAGCCGTAAGTCGATTGCTGCATGAACATCGCCTAACAGTAGTTGGTACAATCCAATCCAATCGAAAATCATTGCCAAATGAAATTAATATCAAGGATAGGGCTGTAAGGTCTTCAGTTTTCGCACTCTTTGTATTATTATAGAATATTAGTAGTTGATAGAATGATTACAACGATCTTACAACGTTGCTCGTTGCAACGTTACAACGTTTTCTTCTATAAACTGAATGTAGCAGCAATGAATGATGAATGAGTTGTCATAATAAATAAATGTAATAATCCTGGACTGGAATACTAAGAGGACTAGCGGCTAAATTATGAGGACTACCAACTTTACAACAATCTGGTCAAACGGTTTCGACTGGTCAATAAAGGTGCAAATACTGCAAAGATCGAAAATCGAAGTATTTTTGCATGTTTTATGGTATTTGCATCTGTTTGGAGCATACAGATCTATGCTGCCATGGTGTGCAATCTTACTACTATAAAAATGTAGACCCAGGTTTTAGTACCCTCACAATCCACTGGATGACGTTGTAGCCTGAATTTGTAGCAATCTGCATTATCTACACAAACAAAGCGCTTGTAGCCATAGAAAAATTTATATGTAACGTCAAACTCAAAGGGCTCAAAGGTGAACGTCACATTTTTGTTTTGTCGTTTGGTGTGATAACTGGTGATAACACCTTTGTATAAGTAAATATTCTTCTTTACTTTCCTTTGGCTTAGTGTTTTATATCCTTTAGTTAAGTGTTTAAATAAGTTAGGGCCACTTTCACCACCTCTTCATAAGTTTATCCGATAGATAAATTGGCGCTCTTAAATGAGAGCAATATATATTATATTTAAAATTATGAATTTTATCTTGGAAAAACTATAAATTCATATTTTTTTGCATTTATTTGTAAAATGTACTTGACCTCTTCAAAATAAAGTATTGGTATAAACCGGTATAGAAATACCTATATTTAAATTTCGCGCTTTAACTTAATTAGTTCCCTCACAATCCCCTTGGGAGCGCTGAATGTACCAAAATATAGTAGGGAGATGACCTTCTATATACATAATATATATAAATTTTTCTATGTATGCTGCATCGACTGCGTAAAGAATTTTAAGATGTTTGACATTTGAGATATGAAATAGCTATTTTTGATACAAGATAGCGAAATGACACTTTTGCATTCGAGAATGCAAAAGAATTTCGTTGTAGTGTATCAAACAACATTTTTTCGAAAACTGCGTATTCTAAAGTTATAAATTAATAAAAAGACCAAATTCAGGATAATGACATTAGGCCAAATTCATAAACGTCACTAAAGTGACACTCACCCTAAACTCCTACTAAGTTGCGGTTAGGCACTAATTTTGGTATTCAAGAACAGTTAGGGACTAATTAGTGACTAACTTTTTTCTAACTATAGGTTAAAGATTTAGGGAAAAGTGAGTAAAATTTGAGTGCGCAATCGCGAGCACTAATCTAACCCTAACTGTCATTTTGCTGTTGTCTTAATTCGTTTTTTATAGATTTGCTATCATAAATTCCGAAGAAAGCAGTTGTGATTACTCGCGTTTATTAGATTATCATTGTTAAATTGGCGATGTTTACCTCCAGGTTCATCATTTTTCGTAAAAGAATATAAAAAAATCACAATATTTGCATAAAACGATGACTAATTTATTATAAAGAAATTTCGGTGCTACAGATCTGTTTCGGTTAACTATGTAACCGTCTTCAGGCACGACGTCGTATTTAGTACTTCAATAAAAAGGGATTAACAATCATCGTATATATCCGTATATATATCACCGTATATATGTTCCCTTTTGTATATAATCCCTTTTTATTGAAGTACTAAATACGACGTCGTGCCTGAAGACGGTTACATAGTTAACCGAAACAGATCTGTAGCACCGAAATTTCTTTATAATAAATTAGTCATCGTTTTATGCAAATATTGTGATTTTTTTATATTCTTTTACGAAAAATGATGAACCTGGAGGTAAANTTAGTTGTGTTGTTTTTATAAATTTGATTGTTAGTTATTAGTTACGATTATTATAGTTTTGATTATTACTTATTCTTTCGTTATAAATTCATTCTTTACATCTATCAAAATGGATAATAGAATAGAATTATTATTAGTAGAATTTATTGAACACGCTGAAGATGTTTTTTGCCATGATCGTGCACCAAGGTAAGTAAATAACATAATTTATATACACATAAATAGCTAATACACATCATAAATTCGTTATTAGAATAATTTTAAGAGATGTCGGAAATCCTTTGGAGTCCTACCGCCAAAAAGAGTTGATACAACGTTTTCGGTTTGGTCGTGACATAATCCAAAATATATTATTACCATTGGTTTACCCAAGAGACGTTGCTACAACAAATCGTGGCTTGCCAATTCCACCCATCATAAAACTTTGTACCGCTCTTCGGTTTTATGCAAGTGGAAGTTATCAGGTAATTATAAAAGACATCTTTTATAATTATAGTATAAAGGTAGAGGACAAGTTTAGCATATTATTACATCTTGTACTTACAGAGGATATGTGGGGATTTACCGCACATCAGCCAGACATCCACTTGCCGAATAATAAATGAGGTGTCGGAATTACTGGCAAGAAATATTGGAAAATATGTGAATTTCCCAAGCAGTGAAGCCGAAAAAACCAACCTACGACGAAAATTTTTCGAAATTGGAGGTTTTCCTGGAGTTGTAGGGTGTGTTGACGGGACTCACATAGAAATTAAAAGTCCGGGAGGTGCCAATGCCGAAATATTTAGAAACAGGAAGGGATTTATGTCCTTAAATGTTCAGGTCGTGGCTGGACCAACTTTGAAAATCTTTGATATTGTTATAAGATGGCCTGGGTCTGCACACGATAGCAGGATATTTAATAGCAGCGCTGTGGCTATGAAATTTGAATCGAAGCTATTAACTGGAATATTGTTGGGCGACAGTGCCTACCAGCAAAATCAATTTTTGAACAACGATATAATATAGCACATGTTCGTACCAGAAACGTTGTAGAAAGAACGTTTGGCGTTTGGAAAGGACGGTTTCGGTGCCTAACTGGGGCCTTACAATGTAACATAAAAAATGTAACAAGGATTATTGCTGCTACAGCAGTGTTGCATAATATTGCGCAGGATATTGGGGCAGAAATCCCCAATAATAATGAAATTCCGAATGAAGAACGTATTGTGCCAGTTCTTCCTGCCGTGGATCGTCGAAGAGGGAATATAATAAGGAACGCTTTCATACAAAGACATTTCATGTAATAATTTTTAGTTTGTGTACCTTTGTACCTTTCATAATATATTAATTTTGATTACATTTCCTTGACTTTCTAAATATATTTTTTTAAAGTCTCTAATTATTAAAGATGTTCTATACTATTATCGTTTCCATGTATTGTATTAGAAATAATAATGTAGAGGTAATGCAAAGATAAGTTTATTTAATTAAATTTATTACTTATTAATTTCTTTTTTTAATAATTCAATTTCTAATTTTAATTTCTCCTTATTTATCTCATGCAATTCTGCTGCCTGCTGTCTTCTTTCTTCTATTTCTTTCATTTGTGCCTTATGCAATTCGTTGTCATTAATTCTTTGTTGCCTTAATCTCTTCAACCTCATCTCGGCCTCCTCTTCTAAGGCGCTGGCAACCTTCCCTCGACTGCTCCGGACCCTCGGGGTTACTGATATGCGGTGGTGCACTGTCGGAGTATCTTTGAGAAATAAATTCAATATAAAGGTTAAAATAATTACTTTTAAAAGCAAGCACTTGCTGGGTTCAGGGCTAGAGCCTTGCTCGACGACAACTGGTTGGAGTACATTATTTCTATCTAAATTATACTCCGTACTACCACCAGCTGTACAAGTTTCACTATCAATAGCTTCCGACAGTTCAATATCAACAGCATTTAAGACAGCGTCAACCGCATCATCATCTGGGATTGGAACGAATAATCCACCTCCTGTAGCCATCCTTGCCTTCTTTTCAGCGGCTAATTCTTTCTTCCTTCTAGCTTTGATGTTTTCCCAACATTTTCTAAGTTGCTCCAATGTACGCTGTCATTCAAAAGAGACACACGTTAAGAAATAAATTAAAATTAGTAGAAAAATTTAACTTACAAAGGTTGTTTCAGCCATAGAATTATATTCTTCGGTAAGATTTTCCCAGGACTTTTTCTTTTTTGAAGTCGATACGCAATCTGACTTTTTGCATTCAATATCATTATATTTACCCACCAAATCTAACAAAATTCTTTTTTCGTCCGCGCTCATAAAGGTTCGTTTTGGTTCCATAACGTCAACAAAACGTCATCGATTGTTATGACGTTTTCCCTAATTGCACACTAACGTTAGTGACTCTTTATGAATACCAAACTTTAGGGAGAGTGACACTTAAATTCCACTAACCCTAAAGTTAGTAATATTTTAGGTTAGTGTTAGCTTAGGTTAAGTGTCACTTTAGTGACGTTTATGAATTTGGCCCTACGAATTCATTTAATGTTATGCCAAAAACTTAACGTCACATCGATTTAACCTCACATATTGAACAAATGTACTATTATAAATTTGCATTTAAACATGAAATGAAATGATAAAACAATTAAATGTTGATTACTTTGTGATTATAATTTGTTCATAACAATAAATTAACAATTAATAGTATCAAATTCTTTAATTATCGTAGCTGGACGTAAAAGTCTTTTGCGACCTGGACTATGTCCTGGACGTAAAAGACTTTTACGTCCTGTTGACAAAAAACTATCGTTTTGACGGTCGCTACGTACTACGCAAAAGTCAACTTTTACTAGCAGTTTTCGAAAAATTCATTTTTTTGTGTTTGTTGAACATTTTACTTTACGTTTAGGCAAATGTTTTTGTTATATTGTTTTCAAATTTTTTTATTTACAATTTTTTATGTAATGTACAAATGTAATATTTTTTCTAATAAATAATAACTCTTTGGGCAATTGTTTTTTGATAACTATTTCTACTTTCAGCAGTACCAAATAAAACGGACTAACAGTAGAATACAAATTTAGTATTTTATTGTGTTATTGTAGGAGGAATAAGCATCAAACTTTCGGTCTGAGAAACCCAGCCCGTCGAACGGTGTGATTTTTAAACCACCCGTCAACTGCAGGGTTAAACGTCTTGTCTTTTAACTTAAATATTTAACACTCCTTTTTAAACGCTTTTTAATACATCATTTATTTTATAAGAAAATAGTTCGATTATTCATTACGTCTTCACTTGTACCCTTTCGGTGTAAAAAGTCAAGGCCCCTCAGTTTAGAGATCGATATCTTCGCAACCGCTCGATAAAAAAAATTGCGACAAAGTTTGTTGTAATCACTGAACATTTCTACGTAACATATATTAATTTGAAAATTTTCTGATTCGCGGTTTTCTATTTATCGCGAGTTAAATGAAAAAAGTACCCGATTTTTTACGGTACCGACAACTTTGCGATTTTTTGTCGATTTTTTTTTCGATTTTGAATTTTGAACACGTAGTAGCCTGATGTTTTCTTAATGAGTGGCATATTTTATTTTTACCAAATTCCATACAGTTTCGCGGAAAATCGCGGTTTAGTAAGACGCCGCGCCGTTATGTCGAAAACGGCTGGTTGGATTTCCTTGCTGATTTGACCAAAATATGCCAAATAATTGCGTTTATCGGATACCGTTATCAGTTTTTCAAAGTTATACCTCTTTAATTTTTTTAGAGCGATTTAAACGAATTATAAATTAAAAAGAAACAGAAATAAGCTCTGCGGGGGAGGGGGTTCCGTCCAATCGGAAAAGATGGTGTGTTCCAGACAGTACGTCGCGCCTTATCTTTTCTACATAAAGAAATATATAATAAGCAATATAATAAGAAATATATAATAAGCGCCGTCCTTTCTCTGGAACATACCAAGACTATTTTTTCCGATTGGTCGAAACCCTCCTCTCCCCGCATGGCTTATTTCTGTTTCTTTTTAATTTATAATTCGTTTAAATCGCTCTAAAAAAATTAAAGAGGTATAACTTTGAAAAACTGATAACGGTATCCGATAAACGCAATTATTTGACACATTTTGGTTAAAATTGCGTTGAAATCGATCAAATCGTGCAACTAAATCGCGATTTTCCGCGAAACTATATGGAATATCGTAATAATAAAATATTAAGAATACATCAGACAGATTAGTTTTCGAGAAAAAAAATCACAAAGTTGACAAAGTTGTCAGTACCGTAATAAATCAGATACTTTTTTCATTTAACTCCCGATAAAAAGAAAACCGCGGATCCGAAAATTTTCGAATTAACATATGTTACGTAGAATAGTTCAGTGATTACAACAAACGTTGTCGCAATTTTTTTTATCGAGCAGTTGCGAAGATATCAATTTCTAAAGTGAGAGGTCTTGACTTTTTGCACCGATAGTAGTCTCTCTCTAATGTCTTCTGTGTGACTCGTCTTCTCTCACATTCCCACATATATTTTTATATTACCATTAACTCGGAGGTGGCCAATGACGATATTTTATATACATGCACATTTTGTGCATTGTATAATAATGAAAAAAACAATCGGGGTATCACTTTATCACTTATTTATTAAAAAATTGAGATCAAATGAAGCCATGTTAACATCACACTTTAATTGCAAGAAATGTTTAAATTGTATGTTTAAATTCCGTTGACATACGTTTAATTTTGCGTTATATATTAAAACGTTATTTTGTCTGTATAATATGGGTAGTTATAACATTTTAAAAGTTTTTCACTGAATCATTTTATTAAATGTGGTACATTTATAATTAAATATCTGCCATTTGCTTAATATCTTCCCCAGTAGGTCTTATTAAAAGTTCGGAAATCTAGAAATTAAAAAAAGGAAATAATAAGAGTTCATTAATTTAAATAAAGTGCTTACATTGACACGTTGAGGTGTGGATAACACATAAACAATAGTGTCTGCAACATCTTCACTTGTAATATGTGGATATTTGGAGTAAAAAGATTCACTTGCCTGCTCGCCATAATTTGCAGACATTATTTCAGTTTTTACAACACCCGGACATATAGACTATAATTTAACGAAAACATTTAAGTAAATATACCGGGTATTTAAAAATTGTGTTCGGATATTTTACCCACTTATAGTTCTCATAAAGATAAACAAAAAAGTCTTAGTAAACTTAGATTCTAAAATCAATTGTTTCAGAGATATGGTTGATTTTACGTTGCTTTTCAATAAAGTTTATATCTAGTCGTTTAGTCGTGTTACCCATGCAAAACTAAACACATTTTGTCTTTAGTTATTGTCAATCTCACGTCACTTTCGCTGGTGTAGTGGGTGCTTTTATTTCATGTAAGCATGAATGAATACACAAATGCAGAAATGGCAGACATGCACTTTATGTACGGTGCTGCTAATAGTAACGCTTAAGCACGTCGCCGTTACTCGGAAACTTACTCTTACCGTAATTTACCTAGTGATACATTTTTCACAAAATTGCTTCAACGTTTGTCGGAAGTGAGTTGTTGATCTGTGAGTACTCCTGCAGTAGAAGAGCAAGTTTTGAGAAGGGTTGAAGAAAATCCAGGTACGAGTGTAAGAAGGATCTCTGTTGCAGTAAATATTAATGGACTTTTTTGTTTATCTATAAGTGGGCAACATATCCGAATACTATTTATAAACTCCCGGTATAAACGAATTAAAAAAAAATGAAATTACACTTATCCTAATTTTGCTATTCATCCTAGCTAATTCAACTCGAATATTCTCTGTCATAGCTCTTAACGCGAGCTTAGAAGATCGATACATAACATTACCAGGTATAAATAGATCATAATAAGCTACGCCACTATTAATATTGATAATGTAGCCCTCCATTTTATTGTCCTTCATAATTTTAACAGCTTCTTTAGAGGCTATTGCATAACTCATTAAATTAGTGTCCATGATTTGTTGCCAAGCTTCTAATTCTCCCGTTAAAATTGACGAGGGAATAGATACACCGGCGTTATTAATTAGAATGTGTACGGGACCAACATTTTTGGTAACCCAAGCGAATCCGTCGATAATATCTTGGGGTTTTGTTAAATCGACGCATCGGGCAAATAATTTTCCGTTATGATTGTCAACTAAGTTTTCAATTTTTTCTTGCCTTCTTGCAAAACCAACCACCTAAAAATATTTAAATATAGTTATTAAGTTTTAAAAAATACTATATAAGTTAATATTATATGAAATAAACGTATACTAACGTAAATATACGTATACGTATAATAACATTAGGACATAATTCGTAAAAACAATATTTATTAAATTAATCTGACCTTCATGCCTTGTTTTAACAAGGCTTTGACTGTAGCAGCTCCAATGCCAGCGCTAGCACCTGTTACAATCGCCACTTTATCTTTTAAATCCATTATAAACACACTATTTTTCGAAAATAATTTCAAAAATCTTGTATAAGTATGGAATAAAATGTTTTAAGTTATCGGTTTGAGTTTACAAAGCAAAGTACTAACATGCTTTATATATATGTACGTGACAGGAGTGTAGGAAGTGATAAGTGCAACATGATTACGCTAAATTGATAATTGCGATGCTATCTTGCTTCGTCATCTATCTTGACCACGCATAAAAAATTGTTTGGCAAAAGAGAGAAAGAAAACATAGTATTTGAAATATGATGAAATAAAGGATTTATTTTTAACGTCAGATTATTTAATATAACTGGTCTCGTTTGACCAATTCTTATAAAATAATAAAATTATAAGGTATTCACCTCTTTGTCTTGTTATTTATTTATTTATATTCAAATAAATAACAAGGCAAAATAAATAAAATATTTATGTTTTTGTATAATAATTAGTTGGCGTGCTACACTTACTTCCCCTACCAGAAAACAAGCAAATTCTTTTTATTAATTTATTTTATAATTCTGTGTGTATTTTAATTAATTCTTTGTGGTTTTTGGCTGATATGTATGGTTGACTGAACTGATTTGATGTCAGCAAAAGATGATTTTAAATTTGATAGTAATGGCTGAGTTTCAATTGATGGTACGGTACGTATGGAAAATTCTTCCGGTAATCTGAATCTTCAGAGATCTCAGAGATGATCTGAGACCAAGTAGTATTAAAGGTAACAGTAGTAGTATTATGGTACCACTTACAAGGGAAGTGTCGGAACTGTCCCTTATCGATTTTGTTGCAATTTGGTACAGCGATAGTATGGCCAAAAATAAGGTTTACGTATTTTTTTAATACGTGCTAATAAAGCCCCTGGGGCGAGTTATAAGGGTTGGAAATCTGGATGTGATGTTCCTGGTATAAGCTCACAATGTCAACAATTTATTGCAGAAGCTATTAGTACTTCAATCATGAACTGTTTGAAATGCAAGCATCCCATCTACCATGGGGTGATGTGTATCTGACGGAGGACATTGATGTCAAGGTTATAATTCTAAATGACTTAATAATCCCCTTGTTCGATGCGCATGCCCCAGTGAAGGATTTCACTGTACTCGAAAATCACGTCCATACATCACCCCTACGATCAAAGAGATGTTCAAATTAAAGCAAAAAGCTTACCAAAAGTTTTCGCGTACTGGTAGTAGCAGCCATCGAAAGTACTATACCGATATCAGAAACTATGTCACTGTGGAGAATTTTGGTATGAAATAAACGAAGCCAGGGGAATCCTTGGCTCATCGAAGCCAAGGATCGAAGCTCATCGCACCCCTACTGCATTATATTATGTTTTATTTTGTGTTATTTCTATCTAAAGTTACTTATTGTGTTTAAAAGAGTAAATAAGTAAGCTTTTTATGAACCGTGATGCGTTTTATTAAAACTATTTCCACATTTTGGTGCCGAAACCACGGGAAGCTTACGGAAATTTACGTAGCGAAGTGACGTGTGTGTGGAGAACAAAGAAAAATCAACGATGGATTTAGCTGTAAGAAAGACAACACGTGCTCAGTTAACCAAGCTGATAAATCAATCGAAAGATATAATCACGCGCCAATTAAATAGTGATATTGTTGATGAAATCGACGTATTACTAGCGAAAATAAAAGCGGTTCAGATAAATTTAGAAGACGTAAACGAGAGATTGGCCTACGTTTAGAGAAGATCAAATGGAAGCGGAGTGCGAAAAAATCATAGAGTACAACGAACAAGCGATGGACGCCGATGTCGGAAGGCTAACGTCAACGGGGAAACGACTAGCCAGGCGCCCAGTCCAGCTGGAAGCGGGACATCTCCAGCGATTGGTATACAAACAACCGTTAAAAATACGGTAAGGTTACCGAAACTAGAATTAAAGAAATTCAACGGTGATATCGCGACGTGGCCAGAATTCTGGGAACAATTTAAACAATCGGTTCATGATAGCGAATTAGATGACGTAGGCAAGTTTGCTTATTTAAAATCTTATTTAACGGGACGTGCGGCGGCCACTATAGCTGGGTTGACGTCGAGTGGAGCTTCTTACGTAAACGCGATAGAACTTTTGAAAGCGGAATTCGGAAACTCGCAACGTATCGTCGATTCATACGAAACGGACATTAACGGGCTTCGAAAGCTATTTAATACAGCGTCAACAATAATAAAATCTTTAGCGACACTAGGAATAGCGCCGGAACAATACGGACTCCTAGTAAAATCAATAATATTTAAAGCGTTACCGTATAAAATGCGAGTGAGATTTAGTAAGGACAATTCAATAACGAACACGAGAATAGCGACGATTCGGTTTCGGTTAGCGGTGATTCAACTCAAAGCGCGGATTATAACAAAGAGTTGATAAATTTACTTCAGTTTATAAAAATTGAACTTTGTTCATTAGAACAAGCGGAGTGCGTGACAACCGAACCAGGCAAGGATCGTAATAAAACCGATAATCTAAAATCTAAACAAGGTCACAGGTACGCGAAAAATAAAGACAATTATACTGTGGCGGGTTTGTTAACGGAAGTAAAGAACGTGTGTTTCTTCTGCAAGTCGTCAGATCATACAACACCAAATTGCAACGAATCCTTGACGTTAACACAGAAGAAGGACAAACTCAAAGCCGATAGACGATGTTACAGATGGACGAAACCAAAGCATCTATCAAAGGAGTGCAAAACTAATATCAAGTGCAGAAGATGCCTCCAGCGACATGCAACGACTGTATGCGAGCGAAGAAAAGTAAGTTATCAGAGGCGTACAGACGACGAGGATACAGCGACAAACTCAACAAGTTTGTTAACAAACGGCCAACTGAACAAAGTGTATTTACAAACAGCGTGCGCACAAATAGTAACAAAAGATGACAATGCAACGATAAGATTGGTGCTGGACGGCGGTAGCCAACTCACATTCATAAGAGAATGTATCTCTCGTCAATTAAGACTAAAAGTTATTGGCAAGCATAAGATATCTATTCAACCATTTGGCGAAAGAGATCGAACACCAGCGAAGTTATGCAATCGAGTGCAAGTAAACCTCAAATGTTTGAATACAGGAAACATAACTCAGATTAATGCAGTAGAAGTTCCTGAAATTTGTTTTGATACACTGAATCCACCTACATTAAACGAACCAGCGATCAGACAATTTGCAGCAAAGTATCAGCTGGCTGATAGTTCTGAAGAAGGACAGCGTAACGGAATTGTGCTTCTGATTGGCGCAGACTATTATTGGAAGCTTGTCACGGGCGAAGTAAAACAACTGACCAATGGATTGACGGCAGTAAATTCCACATTTGGGTGGACAATACACGGACCAAGCAGCGTAGCTAACCAATACGACTTCATGGTCAGCTTTAACACAGCGACGGTTCTACATGCACAAGTAACAAGCGATTCTATGGACTTGAAACGGTTTTGGTCAATGGAAACTCTCGGTATAAACGCGACCGCGAACGTGCAAGGTGATTTTACAACGGGTTTTAAAAACAAGTACATAAAGTGGCGAGACGGGTGGTATGAAGTGTCGTTACCGTGGAAAATTGATCAATTTTTAGACTCAAATTACGCGGGAGCTCTAGCGAGACTAAAAACACTAACGTCTAAACTACATAAAAGCGGAAAGTTAAATGAGTATGACGTAGCAATGCGCGAATACCTAAAAAACAATTGTGCAGAAGAGGTAACTAACGTGACAGACGCGAACGGGATATATGCCACACAGGGTAGTCTACCGCGACGATAAAGGTGGGTTTCCAATCGCTTAATGAACAATTGCACTGCGGAGACAATTTAATTCCTGATTTATTACAAATGTTATTGAATTTCCGTATAGGTGCAATAGGTGTAACTGCTGACATCGAAAAGGCGTTTCTACAAATATCGATAAACGACAACGATCGCGACGTGCTGCGATTCCTGTGGTATAAAGATCCAGTACCTGAAAACTTGACGTCAGCGATGGAACTATCAAACATAACGACATACCGCATGAAGCGAGTAACGTTCTGGATCATTAGCAGTCCATTCCTTTTGGCAACAACATTGCGTAAACATTTCGAAGACCAGCCAGAAAAGTTACAAAACACATCGTCAATTTTGTCCAAGCCATTTTACGTCGATGATTTAGTGACGGCAGCAAGTACCGTGGACGAAGCTCAGAACTTATATAGCGAGTCAATGCAGATTCTGCAAGCTGCAAACATGAATTTAAGAAAGTGGTGCTCTAATGATGCAACAATGATGGCAGTGTTTCAAACAAATGAAAAGGTAACCAGACAAGGTGAGCGAAAGGTGTTGGGCATATTGTGGCATACATTACATGATGAATTAGGAGTAAGTGTACAGTCAGAGGAAGAAGACACAGTACCGACAAAGCGTAAAGTTCTGAAAACAGTAGCGAAGATTTACGACCCATTAGGATTACTTGGACCATGCACAGTAAAAGCGAAAATTCTACTGCAAGCCTTGTGGAAGAAAAAGCTGAATTGGGATGATGTATTAGACCCAGAACAAAGCGGAGAATGGTCAAAATGGTGCAAAGAACTAAATGACTTGTCTGAGCTAAGAGTGCCCAGGTGTATTATTCCAAACAAAAGGGACAAGGTGGATCTTCACATTTTTGCAGGCGCAAGTCCATATGCATATGGAGCAGTAGCTTACATAAGATGCCTATCAAACAACGAATGCAACTATGTGATGTCAAAAAACAGAGTAGACAAATCAGGTCAAAGGGAACTTACATTACCTAAGTTAGAACTGACAGCAGCTTTATGTGAAGCGAGACTTCAAAATTACATTGCAAAAAATATGTTGATCTATATCCAGAAGACGACTCTGTGGTCAGATTCAAAGATATCTTTATATTGGATTAGAGGAAAATCCAAGAAATGGAAACCTTACGTACAAAATCGTGTAAACGAAATACACAAATTGAGCGATAGTGTATGGAGATATTGTCCGGGAAAAGAAAATCCTGCAGACCTATTAACGAGAGGAATTTCAGCCAAAACATTAATTGAATCTAACTTATGGTTACGAGGGCCTAAATGGCTGAAGGATGAAGAGAATTGGCCGAACGATGAATATTTTGAACCAGATGTGGATCAAGTTAGCAGTTTGTTAACTATACAACGAAACGAATCCACACCGGAAACACAGCCCATATTTCCATTGGAAAAGTATGGAACATATGAGAAAATTATGCGAATCACGGCTTATGTTATAAGATTTATTAAATTAACAAAGAAGATGTACAAATCAAAGCGATTATCGACACAAGATCTAAATGAAGCAGATACTTATTGGATAAAATATACACAAGTAAAGGATTTGCCGAACGAGTTGAAAGCTTTGAAAAGGGGAATGCCGATACAATCATCATCTTCGATTCTGATGTTGAAACCATTTCTAGATGAGAATGGTGTCATGCGTTTATTAGGAAGGTTAGATGAAGCGCCTTTGAGCTATGATGAGAAACATCCAATCATACTACCAAAACGATCAATGTTGACGGAAAAAATTATGAGGAAATGTCATGAGGGGGTAAATCATTATGGAGTAAATGCGACTTTAGCTGAACTGAGAAAGAGATTTTGGGTTCCGCAAGGCCGTCAGAAAGTTAAAGCAGTCCTTAACCAATGTTTGAAATGTAAACGATTGAAAGCAAAACCTGGAAACGAAGTATGTGCTCCACTACCAAAAACTCGCGTAACTATGACAAATCCGTTTAACATAACAGGCATTGATTTTGCTGGTCCACTATACGCCAACGTCGCAGGTCAACGAACGAAAACATAATATAATGTTATTTACGTGTGCGGTTGTAAGAGCAGTCCATCTGGAATTGGTTCCAGATTTGATAACTGAATGTTGTATAAGAGGGTTGAGAAGGTTCATTGCCAGAAGGGGCGTTCCTGATGTTGTATACTCTGATAATGCCAAAACGTTTAAGAGAACAGACCTTGAATTAAGAAAATTATCCGCTATCTTGGAATCAGAAAAGATTCAGGATTTAGTTAGAAAGCACCGAATTCATTGGAGGTTTATAGCGGAAAGAGCTCCATGGTGGGGTGGCTTTTGGGAGAGAATGGTAAAAACCGTTAAAGACGCATTAAAAATAACTTTAGGTAGAGCATACGTCGAACGAGACGAATTAGAAACTATTTTAATAGAAATCGAGGCGACAATAAATTCTCGTCCACTTACGTATATCAGTGATGACTCAACAGATTTGACTAAATTATCTCCTTCTCATTTTTTGACTGAAGTAAGATTTTGTATGAATTTAACCTCGAAGGAGATAAGTAGATCTGAAATATTGAAAAGGTGGAGAGATAGAGAGAAAACGTTGAAAAGATTTTGGGACAGGTGGCGTTCCGATTATTTACAACAATTGCGGACAGCGCATCTAAGAAAATCGATAAATGCAATATCATTGAATATTGGGGATATTGTTTTGGTGCAAGAAAACAGTCCTAGGTTGCAGTGGAAGATGGGCAGGATTGTGAATTTGTACCAAGGTAGAGATGGTAAAATAAGGGCATGTGAAGTAAAGTTAAGTGGCGGAACTACATTACGACGACCAGTCCAACTCTTGTACCTCTTGGAGGTACAAGCCTTTTCGCCGGGGGAGGATGTGGAGAATTTTGGTATGAAATAAACGAAGCCAGGGGAATCCCTGGTTGCGTGGAACACATCTGCGCAGCGACAACCGATAACCAGTACCACTCGAACCAGCGAGGTGAAATGTTCGAAGCGCATCGCACCCCTACTGTATTATATTATGTTTTATTTTGTGTTATTTCTATCTAAAGTTACTTATTGTGTTTAAAAGAGTAAATAAGTAAGCTTTTTATGAACCGTGGTGCGTTTTATTAAAACTATTTCCACAGTCACTTTCGCAATACGTAACGAAAAGAAAACTTTTTTTGAGGCAGAGATAAATAGTAATGTCAAGAATCCCTCAAAATTGTGGCGCTTACTGCACACCAATCAAGTGCACCCAAAGAACATCAAGACAATCGACGAATCACTTAAACATCCACAGCTAATAAATGATTATTTCGCTAATAATATTTCTTCACCTTTTTTGTCGTTGAACAACCTTGATTCTAATAAATCTTATATTTTGGATGTCAACGTATGTTTTAGTTTCGATATGGGAACGACAGGGACATTAAAAATAAGCACGATAAAATCAAATGCCTGTGGTTTGGATGCAATCGATCTGAAAATGGTAAAACTTGTATTGGAGTACTGCCTCCAAGAAATCACTCATATCATGAACTTCTCACTAATATATGGAGTTTATCTGCCTAAAGTAAGCCATGCTACGTCACTAGGAGACCTACGCCCGATTAGTATGTTACCTATCTTATCTAAAATATTAGAGAAGATTGTTGCTTCACAGCTAGTACGCCACCTGAATCATACCAATTTACTTCCACGATGCCAATCTGGATTTCGGGAGAAGTATAGCACAACGAGCGCGCATTAACTAAAATTGTGAACGATTGGTGCTGTGCCATTAATGCCTCAAGAGTGACCTTCCTAGTTGTATTCCTAGATTTTAGTAAAGCTGCTGATATCATCAATCATCAGCTTCTAATAGCCAAGCCAGTCCGTTATAGGCCCCATACACCTGCATACATATTGGGCAACCTGATGTTGCGCAACAAAGTGTTGTACAAACATGGTTAGCCATACACTGTGCGCTATTTTATGCAAACCTCAGTTGTATGTGTTGCGTTCATACGGAAACATGCCATCTGACGAAGCGGCCTGTTTAGCTATAATAATTGCTATAACCTCCGAGGATGTTGGTATTAAAAAAAGAAGGAGGAAGANCTCGAAGCTTCGTCGACGAATCATTGGGACACGCAAGACATAATGATGCGGCAAATAGTACTTGGTGGTTGTATCGGAGAAAGGAGATGTTATCAATGTCATATGCTCAGATTTGAGATAATCGAGCATGAATTCAGAATAAGCAGACATTTAATTCGGAATTTTCAAGGAGTAAATATCTTCTAAGCGCTTGATTGTAAGAATAGCCCAATCTATACGGATCATCTCGAAATGGTAGGGCCGACACAAAACGTTCGTCGTGTGCACGTTGACAATTGTTAATAAAATGAGATTCACATACAGCCTCTTTCGGAGGTAAAGAAATTGTGTCTCAACCTGTTCGATTTCCCAGAAACGCTGCAAACATATCTCCAATGATGAATCAACGACAGCGCAACAGGTAGTGATTGCTGAAGAAACAGAAGATCCTATATCATTTCCCATCAACAACCAGCCAAACACCGATCCCACAGCGACAGCTGAATCAGGCCTGCCCGTCACCCGCTGACCATCCAATACATAGGGCACTAGTTCAGCACCCAAAAGCAAATCAACAGGCGCGGATCGAGAATACTGATCTTCATCAAAATGTAAATCTTTAAGATGCGCATACGAATCTATTGACAAACATCTTTGTGGTTGCTGAGCACAAATAGTCTTTGTAATAATGGCGTTCAAATCAAAGGAAGGCTCAGACATTACGAAAGGTTTTATCTGACAATAAACTGAACTTTTGTTGCAGGTGGATGAGATGCTGTTCAACCCAGAAATCACGTGGCAAGACTATTCAGCGTTATAAAATTTGCCATACTCCCGGAATCAATAAGGGCCCGTACTTTGTGAAAAGACCCTGTGAAGTCTTTTATTTCTAAGATCGCAATTGGCAAAATTACCGTGTTGAAAATGTTATTATTCTGAAGGGCGACACCCTTCCCGGAAACGGAATCAATCGGTGAGCTTAAAGAAAGATCAGTACCGTTAATATGCATTGCAGTTTTAGGAGGTGCATTTAAATGTAAAAGTGAATGGTGACGCTGACGACAAACTTTACAACGAGACGCAAAGTTGCAATTGCCCATTCCATTGCCCAATTGCCCAATTGGAATGACGAGCACTTAAGCAATTTCTGCACAAATTTTTACCTCGAGCGCAATTTAATCGCTCATTCGGGGTTTTATTCTGAAATGTTGGACAACGATAAATCAGATGAGAATCCGATCATGTAATACCTTTGGCATTGTTCACAGATTTAACCTGACTTTCGGTGGAAAATGTAGTAGTCTTAAAGCAACGAGAAGAGTTTTTAACTTTGTCTGTGGAAGTTTGGAAACTTGACGATGTTAGTTGGACAGAGTCAAAGCCCTGGCTTGACTTTCAAGAAAGGTAAGTAAGCTTTTAAATGACGGAATGTCAACTTCACTTTGTTGCACTTCAAATTTAGTTTTTATAACATCATCCAATTTTTGCAGTAACATATTAAAAAGCAAAAAATCCCAAGAATCAACAGGGAACTTAAGTTTACGCAGACCCTCCAGATTTTCAGAAAAAGCATCAATCA